TCCCCTTGTATTCTACAATGGCACGATCCATGAGTTCAAGCTGCAACGTCAGTGGTATCGATGGCGGAAAGATAAAGGCGTCTTTGATACGTTTGGGGTATTCGGATAATTCCAGGGGTCTGCCTTCCTTTGAAGATTTCTCAATGACAAGAATCAAGTCCCGACACAGTTCTCGATCCAAATTCACCATATGGTTGAAAGTGTTCACAARAATMTCGTACGCCTGGCAATCCCTATCGAGCGTACCMTCTTCGTCTTTGATGGGGACGGGAACGAGAACGTAACCGCGTTCCTTTCCTKGTGCTTTCCTACCAATRCGGCCAATCATCTGGCGCCCCCCAACTGCGCTTTTTACGGGGTCGGCAATCACAACGAGTTCCAGTGAAGGCCAATCGAYTCCCATGGAAAGCAATTTGCAATTAGTGATAAGTGACTTTKCAGATGCTTTGGCGCCGCTCAGTATCTGCTTGCGTTTTGCAGCAGACATGGTGTGGTTCATATGGAACACACTAATGTTGCTGTTGCTYTTCTCATCTTGCATTGTGTTCATGAACCGCTTTGCTCGCAGGTTTGTTGAATGGAAAGAGACCGCATGCTTAACCTTTAGTTTGTGGTAGGCAGACCTAATCGCAACGGCGAGGAAATGGTCCTTTTCTGTCTCAGSATTCCAGCTACCGTCTTCGCTATACTTGTGGAAGACTCTAGTGTCGGCAAAATATAGAGAAATYGGGAGTGTCGTTTTTTCCTCGACGCTTTCTCGGTGGCTTTTGTTGGCRAGACAAGGCCCGAATAAAGACTCGTCACCAAAACTACGAATCTTCGCGGAGGAGTCTTTGCTCTGCGGAATAAAAATAATTTCTCCATTTGATTTCACGGGCGATGGYAATRCCTTGATAAYCTTGGTGTCTTGGGTATAGTTATKGGGTGTCCCCGTCATGAAGAGACGGTTTCGAATTTCTATGTTTGAATCATAGAGRCCGTACGAATATCCTTTTTCTTTTTTKTTKKKGTCACCGAATCTGCTATCCGCTCCTTCCATTCTGTGTGCCTCGTCAAAAACGGCAAAGTCAATACCGTGAATATTGTTACAGTCGAGTGCCTTGCTGACCTTGTGCAACGAGTGGTAGGTGCACACCAAGATATTCCATGTTTCTCCGTCACGTTCGCTACTTTCCGACAAGAAATCGGCTATTTCGTTTACATTGGTGCTGCAACGTTCCTTTTTTCGGCTGGTGTTGCTCGATACAATCATCGTTTTRATGGTGTGGCTGGGATCRATCTTTGTCATCATAAGTCGATGATCCTCTCGGTTCGACAGAGCTTGATCGATAAGATGCAAATACGGAGTGACGTAGACGGCAATTTTGGMCTCCGATTTCCGTCCCGAATCACTTGCTGGATCGTGAACGCGAGGAAGAACACCTTCCATTACCTTCCATGCGAGATAAGTCTTTCCATAGCCGGGCACGGCCTGGATATTTGCTCGTTTGGGCTCGTCTAAATCTTGAGCAAAGTAATCGACAAACGTTTTCACAAAGACATCGCTCCGACCGTCGTCTTCTTTTCCCTTTAGGTCCTCGGTAGGAGTTGTCGACAACGAAGATTCCAACCTGGTAAGGCCTTGCCCACCAGGAATTCTTGTCGATGAAAGGCCAAAGCATGCTGTTTCTGGTAATACTAGAAGAAACGAAAGTGGCGACAAGAACCTCATTGTACAATATTTCGGTTTTCTGTATTTAATTGAACCAGAGTGAAAGAAAAATATTAGCAATCTTTTTCATGTTCTCGTACCGTACCAGGTACGGTATCGTACGGTACCATAATATGGTAACACCACAATCACGAGTAGCTAGTGAATAACCTCACTCCATTACTGTAGGTCACAGAGGACCTTCGTGGTACTGCCTCACAAATACCTTAGCCTATTTCTCCGTAGTTGTCACAGCCACAACCCTGGCGTCCATGCGACACCGACATCTCTTTCTTAGCAGAACCCATCACAACACGGCTGCTGCTCGATTCGATTCCGACGCGAAGCACCCACAGCCATGAGCAACAAGCGAAAGGCCTGGAACGAGGCCATGCTCTCGGCGGCGGGAAGCGCCGCCCTCCCCAAGGCCCTCCAGCCCCGAACGCAAAAACGCCGGTCGGACCGCCGCAAGAAGCAGGACCGCCGGGACAAGGCCCGCAAGACGTCCGTCTTGCACTCCTCGGAGAGCAAAGAGTTCCGGGCGGCTACCTGGATGGAYGCYCTGGAGGACGTCCCGCTGACCGGGGCCGACGGGGAAGGCGCGGACGGGGGAGACGGGGACGACAGCTACGACGARCTGGACGAGCTGGAGGGAGGCAACAAGAAGAAAGCGAGGGGGGGACGRGCGAAATCGAAATCCAAATCCAGCAAGAAGCAGCAAGAGAATAGTCTGCCCAAACGATTCAAGGCCAGRTCGATGGCCAACATACTCCTCGAGGAGGTCAACCGAGACGACGGCGTCGCCTATGCCTGGCTCGCGGACGAGGCCCGGGATCTTCCKCAAACGAACAGCAGCAGCGGYAGKARGGCGAAAAKACCGCGGTTGCCGGCCAGGAAATTTTGTTCSGTCACGGGGATGGAGGGGATCTACACGGAACCCAAGAGTGGATTGCCCTTTGCGAACCTRAAAGCCCTGGAGCAGGTCCGAGAGCGGCCTCCACCCTGGATGACGCTCGCTGGTTCCATTGCCTACCACGAGGCGGTCAARAGCATCCGAGACGAGGGCGAACCGTAAGTCCACGATGGACCCTGATGGAACGGTAMAYTAGRAAAWWAGCATTCCTGGAAGGGAACCGATCGAGAAYAKTGAAATGAATCCAATACCGTTGGTTTTTTGAGATGGATGGACAATAGAGCATTCTCCCTCTCATGGAAGTCAACTCTTTRAGACGAAGCAGCCGTTATCCGACACAACACTTTGTGTTTAAGCCAGGGAGTGACGTTTGACCGCTTGCAATGAAGGATGTAAGCAGACATTTCAAAGCAGWAAGCGAACGTAGAACAATGAGCGGAACGGATGGAATCTGGTCCTTTGGGTAGAATACTTGTGCGTTTTGGCCCCCTTTCAGACGTACTAGATACGTATCCTCCACAACATTGACAGAGTGATGTTCGTTCTATTGATTGTGCAGCTCAACCCGTCGCCCAGATCATTTGATACCTTATCATCATGAATACACCAACCTCCATAAATTGGTAGCGGATTTTGATATTCTGGTACCGTCTCAGTTATTATGGGTCAACTGAGACTATGAACCCTCATACCATGATTCTCTCTACAGAGCTGATGTATTGCAACATTGCTACTACTTTTAAAGGAATCATGTCTTCATGGGGATGTCTCCCACCAGCAAGCTGTCATCCGTTCTTCCTTCTTGTCATCCCATGTATCATACGAGCTACAACCCATATCATAGATCACATTATCACCAGCATACTACACTGTAATATATAAATAGCTAACAGCAGCACTTCGAATGTTAGTATCTGCTATTACTAACCAGCTGTCGCAACCTTTTTACGGGAGGAGGAGGAGCAGCAGGAGTGGAGGGGTAGTCGTACAAGAAGTCATTCTTGTTCTTGTTGGCCACTTCTTCTGATCTCCTGATGGGCTGGCAGAACATGCATGGTCAAACCTTTTCGTTAGTTTACTACTTTCCCTGACAACATGATGATGATGATGATGATGAAAATAGATTCAACAACAACAGTTAAGAATTTATGCACATTACATAAGTTTTTTCATTCTTCATCATTGTTGATCTCAAAATCTCAAAAAAGACAGAAATTTTCGACTAATCATTTTTAATCGAGTTAATCAATCAATCACGTTTCATTTCCGTACGAGACTGTCGTCATCGTCCAAAARTTGCTGCCGACCCGACAAAAAAGAATGAAATTCTCATGGAAGCCGACCAATCTGACCATGGTGAYAACCGACGAGTCCTCATTGTCTCTGGATTGTCTCTGTGTGGCCTCAATACCATACTACATCGTAACAACTACAGTTGGCACTGATTTCCGAAATAAACCTCGTAACATTTGATACACTTTGTTTTAAAATGGTGACCTTCCGCAAGGCAAATAGCCTGTTATTGTTGATGTTTTGTTCTGGGTTGACGATTCTTCATCTCCCCACGACGTCGAATGCTTTCCAATCCAAAATCCCCACCAAGAATAGTGTGTTTGAAGGTTTGCATATTTCTGGGGACAACTGGCGACGCAAAAACGTCGGAGAGGAAAGGCAATCGATTTTCAACTCAAACGGAACGGGACACTATAATCAGTACCATGCGACAAAGATATCCGCCGCGACGACGGATAACGAGAGTCAAAGTGAGGAAGGACAAGGATTATTGATAGGAACTCTTGTCCTCTTAACAGTACCACTGTCATGGGGAACTTATGTGCCTGTTGGTAAGTTGTGCAGGTATGAAAAAAGTTTCGGTAGAAAATGGACTGATCATTCTTCCGTTTTGCTGCATATCTCACTCTGGTCCTGACTTCTATTGCGACGCCTCACTCTGCTCCACAACATTCGAATTTAGTCCGATACCTATATGCCATTAAGCCAGCAGTGCCGGGATTCGTGTTTTCTGCTTGCTATTACACTTTGGCTGCCGCAACCACAACACTTTTAGCTCAACGTCAGTTGCAGTCGCAAGCACAACCGACATCGACCACAGTCTCTTCCGACAACAACGAGGAGGGGCTTGACACGAACAATGATTCCACAAAAGCTTCGTTTTTCTCTCTAAATAAAGGCGGTCTCGAGCTGGGTTCGTATCTTTTYGTCGCGAACTGCCTCCAAGTAATTGGATTGCAAACAGTGGAATCCGATCGAGCTGGATTTCTCGTCCAGCTCACCACCGTGATGGTTCCAATCTGCGAAGGCCTATTTGCAGGTAATATCATGCTGATTCCAGCTCGCACATGGTTTGCTTGCGTCATGGCGTTCCTTGGCCTCTGTATTATGGGATTGGATGGCAAACAAACGGATGCCATCGATGCCTGGACCAGCGGCAACCCTTTGGAAACGTTTCAAGTTGCAGCGAGTAGTCTTTCACAAGGSGATTCGCTCATCCTAGGCGCAGCGGTTCTTTACACGTTGCACGTGGTCCGACTTGGYACWTATGCACGACAAACAACACCGATGAAACTCGCAGCGTCGAAAGCCACAACCGAATCCATACTGAGCTTCGGATTGATCTTTCTCTTGGTGGGTTTGTCGACCTTACAGGAGTCCTTTCACCTCTTGGGAGATTCTGCAAGTATCGAGGGCTTATTGAAGTTCTCGTTGGATACGGGACGAGAAATAACGTCGTTCTTTTCTTCATTCTCYGCCGGCATCTCGGATGGAAGTATCACGACGTCGGTTCTGCTTCCAGCATTTGGTTCGATATTATGGACAGGTACGTGGAAACCAACCCAGATAAAGATTGTACCGAAAGTGGTTACTCTGTTGGGTTGTGTATTCCTTAGTACAAATTCATCTTCTCTCTTACAACAACACTCTATTCGCTATGGCTTATTGAAACGAAAATAACCCCTATTTTTTAGGTTGGATAACGTGTGCATACACAATTTGGGCTCAAAGCTTTGGACAGTCCAAAGTCAGGTAAGTTGCTAYTACAAAAGTAAAGGCGCCAATAGCAAACGCATCGGCATGGTAGGCCAGWTCGCATTTGGTCGATTTCGCGATCTCACACAAATTATCATATTGCTTAGCCCTACGAGTGCAAATTTGATTTATACGTTTCAACCGATCTTTACCGCATTGTTTGCCTACGTATTACTAGGAGAGAAAAGTGAGTTGAATCTTCGTTGTTTATTTGCTTGTATTTGCATGGTTTCCTTTTGCGACAAAGCTCACAACTTTGAATGCAATCCATTGAACTTTTCATCAATGCAACATCCGCCCAATCAAAAATAAAGTGGGCTCGGTTGGCTTTTTGGGAGGTGCTATAATAGCTTCAGCCGTTTACATTGTGGCATCCAACGATGGGGATAATGGCAAAAATGCTATCGAGCAAGAGTAATCGCAAAATACTCAACCGCAGTAACTTTATCATCTATTTTAATAAGTCTATTTGGGAGAGACCGGTAGTACATAACACACGAAAGATTCTTACAAAAACAACAAACAGGAGTTATATAGTCAGCAACAAGTGGTCTTCATGCGTGCAAATCGCAGCAATCATGAGGACTTTTAAGGTTGCTACTACAGAACTAGTAGTAGTACTACTAGATATTAATGCTGCTGGCGTGCAATAGTAAGACTCAAAAATCTACTACTAGGACTACTACTAGTACCACCACCAGGACCAGCCTTTTAACTTTAGGTTAATTTGATTATCTCGGCCACTACTACTATGAATTATGCTGACAGTAAAGTATGGTATTGCTGCTACAAGAATATAAAACAGAGAATGATATTAAAATGTGACTTCGAGTTTGTAGCAGCAGTCTACGGTATGAACATTAACAAAGAGCACTGAGCAGTTGTCCGTTCCAACAGTAGGTTACAATCGACTCACTCGACTCAACGCTTTTTCTCGAGCAGCGCTGGCTCGCAACGAGCMATTTTTGAAATTTCGAAAACGGCCAGCTACAAATTTAGTTACTTACGGGTTAGGTGAGAGAAAAGTACACGTAATCGCAATTGTGCTCGCAATTCCCATCTTGATGGAACCTGATTTACCKGTACTCGTACGGTAAGGCACCCTAGTGGAAAGCAACTCCGGTCTTGATGTGTACGAGTACGAACTCTTGCCTCTACCGGTACAAGAAAACAATACTGCCTCGCGTCAAAGTTTCACTCTCAAAAACTGTTTCGCCTCTTTCTCATTTTGACTGGAATCGCTTCGTGCCTCCAGGACTGCGTTTGCCATGGCGACCATCAACGGACTTTACGAGCTAGCTAGGAGGCCTATCAAGAACGGCAATGGCTGGTTCGATTCGCTCCCGTCCCTGCCCGACTTTAGCGACGAGTACGAGCTCGTRAGAGACACGGCGGGCACTTTGATCAGCAACACATACGACGAGATCGAGCAACGGTTGCCCGATGATCTGAAGAACAATTATTTTGTCTTTGAAGACCAGGTCGGCGAGTCGTTGGCCGTGATTGGCTTGGGCGATGTGCGGCCGCGAACCGTGATCAAGTGGRCTGCRTACCTTTTGGTTCTGTCCATTGTTGTGCTGAAATATGTGTCCAAAATGAAACGACGCCGCCGGCACAAGATGCTCTACGGAAACAATGCGTTCCCGCCATTCACCAAAGCTAGCATGGCGAAGACCGTCTCCGCACTAGTTACCAACTCACAATCCCCCTGGTTTTTCAAGAARTGTTCCGAAGATATCAACTCATCGGTCTTTCGCTTGAGGTTGCCCTTTGTCAAGGCACCSATGGTCGTCGCTGTTGGAGATTTGGTTACCGCAAAGGAGATTCTGCAGGATCCCTTGACGATGAAATCCGAATCACACTTTTCTTCCGTCAGCTCTATTGCCGGAGGTCCAAACATCATCACGTCGGAAGGACCCCAGTGGAAGAAATCTCGAAAGGCTGTGTCTCCTGCCTTTATGAAGAAGCACCTTGACAGAATGCATCACGTATGTAGGGAGGAAACGGAGGACTGGATCAACAACAAACTGAAACGATACATCGATAAGGACAAAGACTTCGATATCGGCAAGGAAATGATGCGCCTGACRCTGTCGATTTTGTGCAAGGCTGCATTTGATTACGATACCGAAGTGGACGAGAGAGCCGCCATWGCATCAGAGCTTGAGATTGTGACGAAGGAGTTTGGTTACGACGACATGAACCGTCCTGTCAGGGTCAGATTTGGCATTCTTCGCTCATCGACGCGTCGCGCGAGACTGGCCCGGACCAGGATTCAGGACTTTGCCAAGAAAATCCTGCACTCGCACCGAAAGAAGAAACAAACGGAAAACAGCACCGCGGTCGATGGCAACGAAACTATTTTGAGYTGCATCGTCAAGAGCAGAAAGTACGAAGACGATTCGCGAAGAATTTCCGACATTGTGATGTTCCTGTTCTCGGGCGTGGAGAACACGGCATACTCTCTGGCATGGACTCTGTTCGAATTGGCACGAAATCCCAGGGTRGCATCGGAGCTGAACAGTGCTCTGAACGGAAACAACGACAAGCGCGCCCAAGAAATGCTCAAGGACGTCCTTCGCGAGGGAATGAGGCTTCGTCCACCCCTYCCCAGCATCGGGCTCCGCACCGTTGGCAGGGATTTCTACATGGAAGACAGGTCCATCGTCATCCCCAAGGGTTCGCAGATCATTGTTCCCTCTCTCGTGACAACACGGTTCGACGTGGAGGACGCCGAGTCCTTCCGCCCGTCSCGCTGGAGGGACCACCCGGACAAGTCGTTCCTGTTGTTTTCGACGGGCCGACGAAACTGCGTCGGCCAGTCCCTCGCGCTCGCAGAAATCACGTGGGTCTTGTCGCGTCTCTGCGCCAAGTTCGAGTTCCACGTTGTCGACGACGGCGCTATCGAATACTGCGGGGCCACCATGAAGTGCCTCGGCACGCGCCTGAAGGCCAAGGTGGTCCCGAAACACCTGTAATCGCTCGTCTTCTGCGACGACCGATTCCAGCTTATTATCAGGCCAAACACAAGCGAACAAACGGGGTGCACAACATAATAAGTTTTYAATAAAAAGAGAAAAGCCGAACGAAACACTTTAGTCGGCTGCATTGGACAAWGAATAACAGCTAAAACAGAATGATTACAAACAACCGAGGCCAAAGCGCTCTTGATCTTCTCGTATAAGGTACAKTCGAGAAAAACATCGGCCTTCATTGGCAAGAGAAGAGAATGGTGTATTCCCTACTACTGAAACATCGTTATTACTAGTACATCCTACTTAGTACAATGTTTGTATTACTTTGATGAGACAACCTTTTGCAGGTTTTTGAGGGTCGATCACCATGCAGTGATTCACGCCTCGCGGAACGAAMCGGTGAGGGCTCATTCGACTGACTCGATCCAACGAGAAGAAATAGAKTAGATACATTGCTACTGTACCTACATAAGATACGAAGAATACATCAATATAGTACTGTACCCATCTGTCCACGCGTTCGCTTTTTTCTTCCTTCCTTCTTTCTTCAACATGAGAAATTCCTTCCTTTCCCGTTGACAGGCAGCTGATCCGTGGGCGGGTTGTGCCAATCAAAACAGTCGTGGATTTCTCGTTTTCTCGGGGATTGATTCGAATTCGGCATTGCCGGACATCCCGTGTCACCAGCATATCCACGGTACGAGTAAAGTAGTCGGAATCCGAACAAGAACAAGAAGACGACGCTCCCCCTTGTGTCATTCGAAAGCATTGCGCCGATCCAGCAGCACCCAAAGGATACCSSAACAAGAACCAACGCTGCAGCAACGCRWCGCAACGSAACGCATACTCCACAACACACCAGACTCCACATCRCTCTMCCTCCCGCCGCCAGAGACGTTCCACCATGGGCGARAAGACCGGGGTTCGAARCCCCCGATGGCTGCTCGGGTGGGCTGCCTGCACCGCCGCGCTGGGCTYYATCGCGGCCGCCGACGCTCTGATGCTCCCGCMGAAYTCCTTAAAGGCCAAGCTTGGGTCTCGGATGCCCTCCGCCCTGCTTGTCTCCCTCTCTTCCCCCCCGCCGGAGCAGCCGGGACGGACGGGTCTTGAGAAAGCAACGCAGCGGAAGAGGCAGAGGCCGGCCCCGGAGCAAGCCGCGGCGAGGGATCCCTCGTGCTACGTCCGCTGGAACCGCAAGGGGGACCTCTGGCAGATGCAGACGGCTCTGACCACCTTTCGGCGTGGGTCGGACGGGAAGGTCGTCGAGCTCCACGCCCAGCAGCACTTTGGCGACGAGCACTACTTTCGGTACTGGAACTCGGACGTGCGCTTCAACGACCGGCACGACTGCGTCCTCTTTGAGCTGCTGGTCGACGAGGACCTCCTGGAGGAAGGAAGGGGAGGGGACCAGAGGGTGACCAAGCCGGTGATGGCCTCGGAGAGCGACGAGCGCCTCGGACGCAACCTGGACCTGGTCTGCCAGGCCTCGGTCCTCGACTACGCCCGGTCGGACAAGTGGGTCCACGCCGATCTCTCGAGCCAGGAGTTTCGCGGGAAAGTGGCCAGCCGCCAAACCAGTGGCAGCAGCAACGGCGACAAGAACAACCACCAGGACGAGACCACCCCCCTCTGGAAACTCGCCTCGGCCGGGTCCTCCTCCGCCGCCGCGGAGGCCGTCGCGGCACTCGTGGCCGGCCCGCCCGCCCTCGAGCTCGCGGCCGGGAGCCCCCGGAAGCGCCGGCTCTTYACSAATCTCTTYCTGCCSGGGGGCAGGCTCGCCTCGGGCATGCGGGCCCTCCTCTGGACGACGGTCCCCTCCCCGGAGCTCTCGGTCGTCCTCCTCGACTGGTCCAGCCTGCTGGGGGGCGGCTCCGGCCCGGGGGCCCTCTCGAGCGTGGCCCTCCCGGTGCTGACCAGCCTCGCCCGGCTGGACCTCGGCCGGGTCCGGCGGTTCCTGCTGGGCCAGCAGGTCCTGGTCTCCTCGAGAACCAACGCGGGGCCGGACGCTTCGGCCGCATCGCCATCGCCATCGCCATCGCCATCGCCATCGCCATCGTCGGACTCGTGGTCCCTCCTGGTCCTCGACCGAAACGACCACGCCCTCGGGGTCCTGGACCGAAAGCTGGGGGACCCGGGCGTTCGATCGGCGGCCCTGCTCTACGGGAGCTCCCACTGCCCCGACCTCCACCGCAAGCTGGCGGCCTCGGGCTTCCGGGCCACGGACAAGGAGTGGAGGACGGCCTGGTCCGTCCGGGAGGCCGCCGGGCCGGAAGCCGGAGGCACCGAGCCCCTGCCGGCCCTGGGGGCCTTTCTGGTGGCCTATTTGGTGGTCGGGGCGCTGGACTGGGTGGCCGTCCTGGGGGACACCTGCTCCTCCCTCTTGGGCGGGGACGGGCTCGGCGCGGCCGTGGCCGTCGGMCTCTACCTTTCGCGGCACGTGCTCCTGTACCTCGGCCTGTCCCGCTTTTTGATCGACTGGGCCGGGGCGGACCGGTGAGAAAGCCAGGAGGCGAGGCGACGCGACGCGACGCCCGCGGCCACCGCCGTTCTCGTTCGTCGGCCGGGACGAACCCACCGGGTCCGCGGCAGCAGCAGAAGCAGCGGAACGACCCCTGCCAAAGAACGACGATCCTCTCCCCCCCCCCCCTTCCTGCCGCATCCGATGCATCGCCTCTGACCACTCTTCTCGGAACAACGAGTCACCCACAAGCCAACCACGGAACSGAATCCGGGACGGACGCAACGAGACGAGTCTCGACGAGCATACGAGTACTGTACCGGGAGAACGATCTTTTTTGTATTGTAGAGCAAAGAAAACTTTGTTCGAGATGAAACTGGTTTGTGACAACGTCGATGTTGGAACAACGAAAGAAAAACAGTGCATTCTTGATCAAGACAGCGGGTTGAAACAATCCAGGATTTGCGTTGCTCGACGGAAGAGGAAGAACAATGAGAGAACAGACTCCTCAAACAACTAGCTAGTACTTCAAAGAAATCTGGTAACAACTAGTAGTAGTAGTAATCCTACCATGCGTCATTRTCATATTTGCTACAAATAGTGCCAATGCTTTTCGAAGAGGAATGATTGCTACTGCAGCAATGCAACGTACTACTATCGACACTACTACTACTCGCAAGTTGTTTTACTAGTAGAACTAAGACTACTAGTACTTTACTGCTGTAATACCARCGCTAGAGTTCTGTACGAGAACGTACGCTACTGATGAAAGATTTCAGATTTCCCATAATTTTGAAAGAATTCCATATCCGACTCGATGTATTTTGTTCCCGATTTGCCGTGAAAGATATGTTTTGGCACGAAAAACGCATTTCGCATTTTCTCACGTTGAACGTATCAACGAAGTRCGTACCTGCAATTCAACGAGGAACAAACAATCGAACCTATCTGGTGTCCCCGGACACAAACCATTCCCGTTCTCCGAGACAAAGACCTCCGTGCCGGCACAACGCAACAACACAACAACTAATACCCTTGCCAACCAAGGAACCAAAGGAAAACCGGTCGCACCAGATTCGCTTCGATCCAGGCCAGCATGGCGTGTCATCGTTCCGTCGCTAGACGACTCGCCGCGTCGATCCCACTGGTGCTGGTGGTGGCGATCCTCCGGAGCCGTTCTTGCTCCGCCTTTGGGGTCCTTGCGACCGGGCGCAACGGCGTACAACGCGGCGCCGTTTCGCTCTCGGAGCACACCCTGAACGTGGAAGGGATCCGGGACGGCGACGACTTTCTAGAGGCGGACGGCCCCAAGGCCCGGCTCCTCGCTGCCATCGGTGCCCCTGCCGAAACAGCGTGCCCGCCCCGCTTTGGCTTTGGGGACGACAGCGCCGCCAAGGAGGAAATCGAACAACTGGTCGGGGACGTCTCGGGGTACGTCCTGCCCCTGGAGCACCCGTCGGAGTGGAGGCTCCTGTACACGGGCGCCCCCGACCTCCTGGGCCTGGAGGGGGGCCCGCTCARCCGGCTGGTGTCGATCCGCCAGGCCATCCCCGACCGGGAGAAACTGGAGATCGAGCTCGAGTACGAGCCGTCCGAGGGCATCCTCGGGCTCGCCGGSTCCTTCCTGGACGGCCTGGGCGAMGACCGGCTGGTCCAGACGGTCMGCTTCGGGTACGGGGTCGGCCCGATGAACAAGGTCGACCTGGAGCTCTCCGGGACGAGCCTCTCGTCGACCCGCCTGTCGTCGCTGCTCGGGCAGGGGGGGAGCAGCCTTCCCCCGCTCTCCCTTCCCTCCCCGCTGCCCTTTTCTGGATTTTYCGTCGTCTTCAACGACGGGGACCTCCGCGTCGACCGGACCGTCCAGGGGGACTTCCTCTTGATCTACCGTCGGGAAAAGTAGACCCTGCCTCGCACCGGTGGTCGGTGCGACACGTGCTGCTGCTCGGATGGGTAACRCCATTGGTAACACCAACTTTTGTGCAGTTTACTATGGTATAASGAACCGTACAGAACAAAGAGATTACTCACGGAGAACAGAAACCAAATGGTAGGAAATATCTTGCATTACAATGGYTACAAGARAGGTGCAACACAATTTTTATATATTTCATAGCACACCCCAGGGTTTCAATACAGCGTCGAACCCTCCCATTCCCCGTAATCGCGCAAGAGTCGCAATCGGCAGCGATCGCAATCCGAAGCTSCACCACTCCTTTCGGAAAAAGATTCGCATTTTGATCCACAGATTTGTCTGTGAAGCRATTCCAAGACGCTCGTCTGGAGGCCTTCGACCACGCCGGGGGGGCAAAACCCGTCGAGGGTCGACCGCGCGATCGTAACAAGGAAGGGTCTCCGTTCGAGATCGCGCGATGCTTGCACGTGTCTTTGAATGTGTTCTTCCACCAGAGAGAGGGACTCCCCGATCTTCTCGGCCGCAATGGCTTCGCCGTATTGCTCGTGGGGCATGCCGTAATTCGGTATCGCGTCGACGATCATCGACAGCAACCGGGTTTCGTCGCGTCCATCGTCGCGTCCATCGTCGCGTCCATCGTCGTTCGCATTGATTTCGTCGACGAGTGTTCCGATCAAAACTTTGGCTCTTTCTTTGCCACCAAAGTATTTGGAGATTTGATCGAACACAAGACTATTGCCACTCTTCGAATGCGATATTTCCTGATATTTTCGTTCCGTACATTCCTGGCCACACAAGTCCAAAAGCAGCTCTTTCAGGAGCTTATAAAAGCAAACAAGTTCTGTCTGGTAAACAAAGCTGGCGTTGGTTGCAGGCTGGTTGTTGCTTATTTCCACAACGCTGTTCCCGTCTTTGTCCTCGTCTGTGCAGTGATTAAAGATTGATCCCTCCATCACGTCCAAAAAGGCGCGGGTCGCCGATTCGTTTTTGGTTTCTAGATCGGATAGGAAAGGATTTTGGCATGCAAAATAATCGAGACAAATATCTAGAATCCAGAGTCGTGGGTCATCCTTGGTGGCAGAACCATTCGTGCTGCTCCTCGTTCCACTTTTGTCACTGCCACAAAACACCGATGTGTCATTTTGCTGCTCTATCGGTAGGCGTCGCTGAAGTTCGGAAACTTTGAGTTCGAGTGTTTGTTTGAGAACAAGATCCTCAGACGGAACGACCGAAAGATCATCAAGATAATAGGGATGATCAAAATTGACCTTTAATTTCGCATCCCTCGGAAGATCCAAGAAACTATTGATTTCGTCTCGATGAGAAGAATCAYCGCCGCCGGTGCCGCCGTCGTCGACATTGCCATCAACATTGTTGTTGCGTTGGTATTCGGCACCCACCTCGAACCGGTAAAATCCCTCTGCAATCTGCTTGGAAAAAAATGGTTTGATCCACTCAATCCTATTCAGGTTTGCAGCCAGCACCAAGGGCATTATCCACTCCGCTATGCCCGAGGGTGTTAAGTCTAGCAGTTCGTATAGATTCCTTTCCTCCTCTCCGTCGGCTTCTCCGTCAAGATCGTTGCCAGTGGCGTTGTCGCCGGGTTCTTTGTTGTTCCTGTTACCCATACCATAGTATTGTCGTGGAGCAAAGCATGCGATTGCGGGTGCACTCTTCGTACACGCCAGGTCGGGATGAGCATCGAAATGGACCATCGACCAGGGTTGGTCGAATAACTTCTTCTTTCGCAAGACATCGTGGACATGTTCCAACACATGCTGATGGCTTTCGACTATGACAACCGGTATTGTTGTTTCRTCCTTTGGACTCATTATACACAGCSACTAGGTTATTCAAATCTCTTTTTGTGACAAGCTTCCATTGGGGTCATCTTTGGTACGAGCATGAAGAGCATTGCATACGAGTGGTCGATGGCTCATCAGGCATACCAGGTATTGCCCAAAMAAAGATCCCTTTCCAGAGATTGGGACATCGTTACTGTCGAAAAAAGGCGCGTATCGTGACATCTCTGGTACGAATCACGTACGTGTACATACTTGTACTTACTGTAGTTGTCACGCTCTACGCGTCCTGATACGTACGACGGACGGACGTATGGCTACTACGGCTCGTCGAAATTTATTTACCGTAATTTTAAGTAATTTTGAATCTTGGATGGGGAATACTTCATACCCGTGCCRATATCCCAATCGTGCGATTCACACGCCCCAGCACCTTCCTTCGATTTTATTTTGCTCTGGATGCCCTTTCACCTTGACCATCACCATGGCACTCGAAACCCAATTGCTCCAATGTTCATAAATCGAATACCGAATGCCAGCATCGAATGCTTTGGTTTTCGAATACTTTGAGAGAGATCCAAGCTTCGTACCCACTCAASAATTCCACGGCAACACGACCACAATGCCAGGAGGACACACCGCATCGAACAAGGACGTCCCCCCGCACCTGAACGATGTTGCGGACGCGGTTAGGCCCCAGCTCGAAGAAATGCGGGGGGAGCGTCCAGGGTTTCGCTTTGATGCGTACAAAGTCCTAGAATTTCGACAGCAGGTAGTGGCAGGAATGGTGTATCACTTCAAGATCCGTGTGGGAGAAAGAGACGACGACTGTCTCCACGCCAAGGTGTTCGAACCGTTGCCCCACACGGGAGACGGCCCGGTGGTCGTGGTGCAGGAGCGCGCAACACTCCAGGATCCGCTGAAAATTTTATAGATCTCGGTTCGGGAGTCTCCAAAGGCTGTCCCTGCCGTGGTAATCTAGAGAGCACTCGTCTAGTTTCGGCAAGAATACCAAAATTCTTGTTTCATAACTTATCTATGAATGCTTCCTAAGTGTTCTCGCCTCTAATAATTACTTTAAAAGGCAATAAAAAGCTTTCTTTGTTGTTTCGATTCCATTGAACAAGTAGTTTGTATCTCGCGAGTAAACGAGCAACCCTCGTCTGTTTGGGAGTTACTGTGTTGTCACAGTTTAGTTTTCATAAGGCATCCCTCGTCTCGCCGCGAGAAGGATCGTTGGTCAAGAAAGCAGTGACAGGCGATGGCTCGTGTCTCTCTTTCCAGGCGATGTGCTCCAATTTGGTTCCAACAATTGCATCGAATCGCAATGGATTGCAGCGTTCGAGTACGCTCTGTGCGTCCATCGAAAAACTCGCGGTGCGCACATTCTGATCTGTTCCATGCGGTGCCGTGCCGTGCCGTGCGGTGCCGTGCCGTGCGGTGCCGTGCCGTGCGGTGCCGTGCCGTGCTGAGCCGTGCCGTCCTGTGCTGTGCCTTGCTATTCGAGGATTCCCGCGGACACGAGGCGATCGATGAGGTCCGCCTTTCTCCCGCTCACCTTCAGTCCCTCCGCCCGGAGCTTTTCCTTGAGGAGGGGAACCGTCAGGGCCACCAGTTTGTGGTCCGGCGCTGCCGTGGGGGGCGTTCCTTCGGTGGCCGGTGCCACCGGGGCAGCGGCCGCACTGGTGSCAYCCGGCTCTCTGTCGCGTGCGTCTCGCCGCGTCGCTTCTCGGCCGCCGGGCACGTCCGGGAGGTCGGCCACCGGCTCCCAATCGTCGTTGCTTTCGCTGTATCTGTCGTTGTAGCTGTCGTTGTAGCTTTCGTCATAGCTGTCMTGGTAGCTGTCGCTGCCGCCCCGCCRCKMCCGGCTGGGTTCCCGGCTGCCGCTCCGAACAAAGGCCGACCTCTGCGAGAGCCGGGCCCCCTCCGCAAAGGGATCGGAGSCTCCCCCCCCGCTCTCGCCCTGCACCACCACCATCCACTCCCGGGTGCGGTCGTCGATCAGGACCGCGTGCTCCTCCATCAGCTCGTCCCGGATCCGGTCCGCCTCCCCGTAGTCCCTCCGGCCCCGGGCGAGGGACCGCTCCCGGAGCCGGTCCCGGACGTATTCCCGGAGTTCCCTCGCCATGGTGTGSGTGGGGTGGTCCGGCGGGACCAGCGGCGTGGGGACGTACAGTTCCCCTTTGCCGGGGGCGTTTGCGGCCTGCTCGCCACCGCTGCCGGTCCCTTGCGCCGAGACGGACCACTCCCGCCTCTTGTCGTCGATCCTGACGCCGTAGCCGAGCCGGAGGCCTTCCGCGATGGCGTCCGCCGCGGCGTAGTCCTTCCGGCCCTTGGCGCGGTCCCGGTCCTCCACCCGGTCCCGGATCTCGGCCAGGTCCTCTCTGCCCAGCCCGGGGGCCGGCCCCCGGCGGGCGTAGGGGGGCCTCTGCCTCCGTCCAAAGTGGCTGGCCCCGTCGACCCGGTAGAGCCTCGCCCTGTCCTGCAGGTAGATCCCGTTGGCGTTGAGGGCCTCCAGGATCCGGTCGGCGTCCCCGAAGCGGCGGCGTTTCCGGTATTCCAGGCGCTTGTCGATGAGGAGGGAGACCTCTTCCTCCGTGAACCGGCAGGTCGGGAGGAGGGAGGGATCCGAGCCGGGCTCGAGGGCGTAGGAATCCCCCCGGTGGATCGGGCCGCYCGTTCCAAAGGCGGAMGCCAGCCCGTTCCCGCCGGCTCCGGGCGCCGCCAGCACCAGCAGCGCCACCAGCGCGATCGCCGCTCTCGTCGCCATTCTGTTCCTTTGTGGTGGGGCCTCGGTCGGGGTGGATGTCGCTCTCTCTTTGTGTGTCTGGCTGTCGGTGTGTCTTTTGTCCTCTGCCGGTATCGAACAAATGGAAATGGACAGAAAGTGTTACAGTACCTTACTTTACGCGCTTACGTACGTAGCTACCTACGACTACGAACCCGTAGGCAGGTTTTGATTGTGATGGGTGATGGGTAATTCGTGCAACTGATCCAACGATAGGAGTACTGGTACTCGTACGTACCTGCCTGTTACGCACTACGACGTACGAATAGTGCTGTTAGCCTGTACAATACGTACGAGGTACATACGATACGATACGATACGATACGATACGGTTTCCTACGCTACGGCACCGTACCGTACAGTATGAAAATGGCGGATACAGCTTTGGCGTACCGTGCATASAGTAGATGCCAACTCTGTTGCATCCACTATCCTCCAATCTCCTTRAGAGCACTACTTTTCTCACGTACCGTACGGTAGTACGAGCAATCCTACGGCAGCAACGACAAACGACAACAAACACCACAAGCCTCCTTGTCCTGTCCCGCGACGCAAAGGAAAGCAGACAACGACAGTCCGGGCCAGACAGTGCAAGACCCGCGACGAACCGCACTACAGCACCCGCAACTAGCCGCACCGCACCGCACCGCACCGAACACCAGACCCCACACACGATGAGTGGTGGCTCGAAGAAGAAGTCCGGTGGCAAAAAGAACGGGTCTTCGGCCGCGGGCAGCACCGGCGACAAGGCCCCGGGTGCCGCCAGAGAGAGCAACAACAACTCCAACGCCAGCAACAACCCCAACGCCAACGCCAACACAGGCAACARCAGCAATGGCAACAGCAATGGCAAGGCAGACGGGAACGGACCGAACCCGCTGGTCCGACCGGCGTCGAGCCGCACCATCCAGCCCCGGGGGATCCTGACGGGATTCTACCAGAAAAACGGCAAGCGCGTCCAGCACACGGTMCAAGACGGTGCCCTGCAGATGCCGGGGGACGCCCTCGAAATCATCCGGACCGCCACCGAGCAGCTGGTGCCGAAGCCGTTGGAAGGCAGTGGGGATATCATTAGCGATGGCATTGGCATTAGCGATAGCAACAACAGTAGCAACAACAACAAACACAACAAAAGCAACAACAACAAACACAACAAAAACAAACACAAGCGCAAGACCTACGACCTGCCGGGACTGGACTCGGTCGTCCGTCCCTGCCTCGATCCGAAGATCCGGAACCTGGTGATCACGAAACTCCGGATCGTGAAGCACAAGCGCGTCGTCGAACCAAAGCCGCCGGTGGAAACCGACGGGAACGAAGCTGCCCCCGAACCCGCGGCACCCCGCTTCCGGTTGGTCTCCTACACCGCGGCCCACAACCAGAGGATCACTCGGCTTCCGGCGGCCGCCGCGTCGGTGGAACGCATCCGGGGGGGCGGGGACGGGAGCGGGACCACAGAGAACGTTGCTCCCGGTGCCAAYCCCGGTGCTGCTTCCGGTCTGCAGGGACCACCCGGGCATCCGTCCCTGCAACAGCCCCCRCAACCACAGCAACAAGCACAACCATCGTTGCAGGCCCCGCCGCAGGTACCACCACCGGCAGCGGCCGGAGGGCTGGCCGCTATGGAGATCGACCCGCCGGCACCACCGATGGCAGCAGCAGCAGCAGCAGCAGCTGCGCCACCACCAGCTTTTGCCGCTGCCGTGGTGCCACCGGCCCCTGCGCCGGCCGTGCCGACGACCGCCGCGGCCGGTGCTTTGGTTCCGCCGGCGGCAGCGGCCACCGCAGCGGCACCTCTAGCGCCAATCCTCCCGGCCGCTCTTCCGGCGGCTACTGCGACTGCGACCGTCGCTGCCACCAGCACCGCTCCGCCTGCGGCTCCCGTTTCCGCGTCCGTCTCGCTGGGGAAYGCACAGAGCTCGGGGCCTTCTGCCCCCGCGGTGGCACCGGCGGGAGMTGCCACGGCGATGGCAGCAGCAACGGCAGCAGCAACAGCAGCAGCAACAGCGACGGAAACGGCGACGGCAACGGCTACGGGTCCATTGGTGCCGAGCGCAGCCCCCGCGGCTCCCAACCCTGCGCCAGTGGCGCCAGCCGCAGCGGCGCCGACACCGGTGGCTTCCGTTCCCGCAGCGGGAGCAAAGCCGGCGCCCACGGCACCCACCGCGGGTTCCGCTGCCCCCGGAACCCCGGCACCCGTGGCCGCTCMKGCCACCGCCGCGGGTGCTTCCGTCCCGGGTGCGGCTCCCTCTCCCGCCCTTTCGACAAAGCCACCGGCTGCCGCCAACGCCGGGACGAGCACCCACCACCCGATGGCAAAACCCCCGGCGGGCCCGTCGTCCTCCGATGCTGCGGCGGCGCAAGCGCCGGCTCCCGCGGTACCCGTAACGGCAACATCGTCGTCGGCGCCCGCGTCGGCGCCCACGGCCGTGAAGCAAGAGGGGGGCAAGCCCAGGCAGGAGGAGCCCGAGGCCAAGACCCTGGCAGCCAAGCCGCCRCCACAGTGGGAACAGCACAAGCCCGCTCCGAACGACGAGACCGTCGCCCCCGAAAGCCAGCTCCCTCCCAGACCGGAATGGTTCTCGAACGACKGCGTCCACGAAATCGAGCGGACGATGCTTCCGGAATGGTTCGACGGCAGCTCCCCCCACAGGACGCCCGAATCCTACCTCGAGACGAGGASGAAAATCGTACGGATGTCGGACACCCTCTCCAACCGAAACCTCACCAACGCCATGATCCGTCGATCGGTGGTAGGGGACGCCGGGAGCCTGCAGCGGCTCCGGGGCTTTTTGGTCAAYTGGGGGATCATCAACCGCGACGGGATCAACGACTCGGCACCGACGTCCGTCGGCCTCCGGCCGGATCCCAAGAGGCCCGCCAGGTTCAGCGATGCCATGAAGGACGACCTGGTGGTGGCCGTCACGGAACAAGCCTCGAAGCGCCGCAAGCTGGCCATGTCGGCACAGCCACCACCGTCGTCTRCCGCGCTGGCGCTGGACTGGGAGGAAATCGCCGAGAGCGTCGGCCACGGGGTCAGTGCCGAGGACTGCCGGCACAACTTTGTCACCGCGGACCTGGGCGAGGACGACCCAGCGGAGGCCGCGACACCGGGATCCGGAGTGGCGGACGGGAACCCCACGGCGGGCGTATCGAACCAGAAGGCCTTTGTCCAGTCCCTGATCGATAGCTCCGATCCGAAGGTGGTCGAGGCGATGTTCGAGGCGGCCGTCCGGGCCACGGGCGGCGGCAGCCCGGCGGACACGCGGGCCGCGGCCATCCTCGGGATCCACGCGACCGGGGCGGTCGCGAACGCCCGGGGCCACGAGATCGACCTGGCCCTTCGGCTSTCGAAGCTCCTGGACGCGAGGATGCAAAAGCTGGAAAACCGGATGGCGATGCTCGACGACGTTGAGGGGATCCTCGAGGCCGAGAAGGTGGCCCTCGAGATGGAACGCCGGGATCTCTACACGGCCCGGTGCCGGCACTGGTTCGGGGGCGTCTGACGGGGTCGATGCAACCGGTGCCTCCGATCGATTTCGGGGGAGCCTTGTCGTTTCTCTCTGTAGCTTGCAACACGGGTACCATTTGCAATAGCAACAACATTGTGGAAMCATGCCCTGTACCTCGAAACGAAACTTTTGTCGAACTGTTTCGGTCAAAGAGGAACGATGCAGAGTGGAAGGCAATAACATGCCATACTTTCGGATCGAGACGATGATGAGTTTGAAATAGCAAATACAGTACSTTACATCACTATTGAGTAGCTACGGGAAAATGCTTGTGACAACAATATTGATGATACGGTGCCGCACGCCACAACAACCATTTGAAAAATACTTGAGTTTTATGAATCGAGACGCAAGGTAGTTTGAAGTAGCAAACCGGTTTGTCAAAGTCATATTTATTTACCTTGTAGAGTTTYGTATTCACAGCAAAAAATAACACTAGTATTTCGTTCAGCGCGTACTATTACGAAATACTGTACTACCGTACTACTAATCAACAAACACACGAAGTTGTCCGAATCCATCTCCGGTTCGTGATTCGCAGTCGTGGATGATTCAGAAACAATTCGGACTGACTCAATCCCGTCATCTGCTCCGCATTTACCATAAGGTAACGGTACCGTACGGCTTCGGCATCGACGGACCAAAACCGCGCTCTACCGGTAGCTTCTGCGTCGTTTCTCATCGAGTCGAGTGAAAAAATTTCAAAAACCTGCTGCGACTTCCTTTGGACCACCTCTCCCTGAGAATCAGTTTCCTTCCCCATCTCCTCTACAGTAATCCCTTTCGAGCAGAGCCAAACTGTCCCTACATACACTTTTAAACCAATACAATGAGCGCTTTCACGAAAGTAGCAAACTTCGTTCAAAAGGGAGCTGTAACGGGGCTCTTTTCTGTCTTTGCATGGCAAGCTTATCAAATCGGTAAGTGACTGCTGACGGAAGGGGATGGAAAACATGGTCGATCCTGGTGACAATCGATGTTTCAACAATCGTCCATTATATCTCACTCAACTACATTTTTGTTTGTTTCAATGCCAACAGGTGTCCAGTGCACAGATCACAGAAAGAGCAAGCGCATTGAATCAAGAAGTCAGCACGAAGAGATCATGGAAGTTATAGCAAAAAAAGTCGAAGAAGAATCCCAGCCGCACTCAGTCGGCAAAATTCCGGATAGATACGATGCCGACGATGATTCGTATCTAAAAAGGGTACCAAAGCTCAACGATCGATGAGCAAGCAAACATGGAGTATTGCCCCATCGAAGCTAAGTGGAACTGGTGGCCACACGGGTGAAGCCATACATGACTTCTCAAAACGCCAAGCGTCTGCACTCATGCACTAAAATTTGACCAGCAAGTCGCCAAGTCGATTTTTTTCAGACGAAATTGGAAACCACTGAACAGCTTGTGCATAGTCCTATAATGTGCAGATGTTGAAAATTAATTGTATTTTTTTTCCCAAAAACCTTCCGTATGAAAAATACAAATCTTTAAGAGAAGGAAAAGTGGATGCATTGCAAAATTTGCGTACTCGAGTAGGAAATGCACGATCTTCGTCCTTTTGTTTCTCTGGAAGACCCTTTCGAACGAAACTAGAAGGAGAAAAGCATGTATTCAGGTTTCTTACACTATTTATTACGAGAGCAAGAAATCGATTTTATTAAGCCGATGATGGTTTCCATCCAAATAAATTTGCAACAATAACCGTCGTGTCGTCGATGACTTGTTCCTCTGCCATCCACCGCGTTCCTGCTTCTGTTACTAGGGTATCTACAGCCGCTGCGGGTCCGGATTGGCCAACAACATAGTCAACGGTTTCCTCGTTCGTGATAAATTCCCAGAGACCATCCGTGGCAATCACGAGGAATTTGTCGGCCTCGGGGTCCAGATCAAATTCCGTGAATTCTGGCTCTGAAATGACTCCCGCACTGTGCGCAACGACATCGCCGAGCGACCTATTCATCGGAAAAGAAACAAATATTCCCTTTAGAGTTATAATTCAAAAAAATCGGCAGTCATCGCGGCAGCAAAAATTGAAATAAAAGACACTTACCTGGACATAGCAAGCCCCGGTACATCCATGTGGCCCAGCCAAACACGCGGCGGTCCATCAATTCCGTCATCGTATTCCACAGCAAAGACACGACCACCACTGGCAAGAATCCGTTCCTTTTCTTTTGGAGTGTCGGGTTTGTGATCATGCGTAATTTCAACTGGAACAATTTTTCCATTTGTTTCTTTTCCAAGGATGACTCTCGAATCACCGATGTTGACACCCGTGAGATGGTTGTCTCGAACGATGGCCATCGAGAGGGTCGTWCCACTAAATTCTGCGTCGATCCTGTAGTTTTTCAGTAAGTCTTTCTCTACCTTCGCAATACTATCTGCAACCGCAACGTTCATATCATTTGCCCAAGAAGGATGGCTTGACATCTCTTTCACTAGTTTATCCCGAAACCAAGCAGAGACGTGATCACCATGCTCTCCGTGCCCATCCAGGGTGCAAAAGATTACACTATTTGTCTTAGTCTCTTCTTTCATWATCATTGAATCTTGGTTTTTCTTTCTCGGGTTGTAGGGGGCATGGCCCTTCTTCGAAACGCCATGAAATTCTGTGACCGCAGTCTTTACTTTCATGCCCTACAGCAGAGAACAACAAAGGCCATTCGACGTCAGCTCCTTGAAGAACACAAAAGATCCAAACAAACATTYGCAAAGCAACAACTGACCATTCATACTTAGAACAGAACCCAAATAATACTTACCTCATCTTTCTTTTTGATTCTAAATTCTCCAGAAGTGAAAGCAGAGGRGTCGAAAGCCCCATCGATGTTTAACTTAGATCCTGTCACCGTCAGACGACGACGCATCTTTTGGAACTGCTTTCCAAGGATGCCTCCAGCTCCCTTTTCGTGAAAACATGTACCGTTGCAAAATAAGAATAATTGAAAAATAAAACCAGTCGTCGAATGAGCGATACGCTATTTGAAAATTTGGGAAGAAAGCGAAGAGTCACCTATTATCATTGAATAATCGTCGTATTCAGATCCATCAATTACATCATCTCAAAGTGTCGATCGTCGCTCGCTCGCACTATATGTAGCGCAAACTTTTTGATAAAATGCTTTCTTGAAAAGTTCATCCCGAACTATCGCATCATAGCATCGCAACCTCCGAGAAACTCATCACCGTCCGCCACTTCATCAGAAAACATTTGTTTGTAACCGAAGATGTCGATCCTTATGTTTGGTCATATAATTGTCCAAATTTTGGAGTTTCAGTCGCTCATTTGAGATTTTCCTGGACTAACATCTTTMGCTGCTCATGCCGGTATTGGATGGATTGATGGATTTTTCAGAATGACTGCGCGAAATCCTACGACAGTTCCACGGGATCGCTGAAAAAATACTGTGCAGGCAGTGCGTTCCAGTAGAGGTGCACACCACAACGTGGCGCGACATACCAGTATCCGGGGTGCCTTACATGGTATCAATTTCTTGAATAAACTGACCTTTTCGCTTCCACTCTTCTTCGAATCCTCGTTTGATGACATGTTGGCTAAATTTACTTCGTCGTTATCCTTCTGTTCTGGTTTTGGGTGCTTTCCTGGAGTATGTTTTTGTTGTCGCATGAAAGTGACGATCATGAATCCGAATTGGCAGTATTCGAATAATAAAAAATAAATCAGCAGGATAACCCAGCAGGACTTTTTTCTTGTGTGAGCTTAARTGTATTTCTATCATCTTGAGCTGCGTGTAGATCTTGGCCTGAACGCCTTATGTGAAACTATTCAAAAACAAAAAAATCGCGCGRAAACCAGTCAGTTTCGGATTGTTTGAGCGCGAAACAAGCTTATTCGACGGGAAAAAATTCGATGTAGCTGTACAGTTCGTAATAACACACCGTACGACAGACATCGGCATTYGACTTCTACGAAGGGAAATCTGTTTCTGGCCCCTGGTCGATACTGCTCTACACGCACGAAGCTTTGGATTAGTCGATACGGTAGGTACGTACGTACCGTACGGTACGGGAATTCACTCAAATTGTGATGTTAAATTTGTTTTTTGTGGATAACCTCATGTTCAACAGCAAGCAAACCATTAAAGGAACAATCAACCGATTGTCAATCAAGAAACAATTTCTTTTGTTTTGAATTTCTCCAAAAACGGTGGGCTTCTTCCCGATCTGGGCACTTATCGATCGACCATAGACCGATCCCTTTCTAAAAAGAAATTGCGGCTGCTGTTGGTATGGAAATTGCACCCGCCTCGAAATCAGAAGACTCCGACGTCGAAAACGCGGATCTATATTTTCGGTTTTACACAAACCGCTGGAATGAAACCTGGTATGCCTTCAACAGAGCGCTGCGATCAACGGAGGACTTCAATGCATTCCTCTGGATTCTAAGATTATCAAAGGATGGGATTTGCAATTTGTACTTCCGGTGCGGACTCTACAAAGTCGGGATTCATGTGTACTGGAGGTCCTATATCCCAGCTTTTGCAATCGCTCTGATCGCAACCGTCGTTGCCTCCTACTACGGATCATTGAGAGAAGTTGTCAGAGAGCGCTGGTGCTATCCKGTGGGGACGGGGCRTCCTACAGAAGAGAGAAACATCCTCAGTGACTGTGAAGCCAATTGGATCCAAAAGAAGTGCAAGTGGTTGCTGTTTCACGACATAGTGGTCGCATATCTCGGTCTAATGATACTCTTCAATTTCTTATCAGCTTGCTTTCGTTCTCCAGGGGTTGCTTTTGAAAATCGAGGGGAGAGAACAAACGAGAATGATCCTCAAGCTGAAAAAAAAAAGGAATCAGCAATAAAGTGGCAGGAACCGAAACRATGGTCGTCAAAAGACTCTAGGGGTGGCTTTTGTGGCATCGATCCTATATTCGATATCTCGAGGGAGCGATTCCTGGTTCAAAATTACGATAACATGGCTCGTCTAAGTAACCATGAACGTAACAAACACTGTAAAGAGGAAGGAAGTCAATGCTTTCCGAGCCTCGAAGAAACGTTCTGCAACAAGTGCAAAATTCGACGCCCACCACGGAGTCATCACTGTTCTGTTTGCAATAGATGGTAAGYCCTTACTTTGAATCAATCATCCTTCTGTTTTTTGAAAAATCTGATAATTACTACTGCTTCTTYTTCTTAAGTGTTTTGCAATTCGATCATCACTGTGTGTGGCTAAATAATTGTGTGGGTTATAATAATCACAGAGCGTTTCTGTTAACGCTTTTCTACCTAAGTGCTGGTTGCTGTTATGGATGGCTCATGCTATACCGTCCCTTTCGGGATCTATTGAACTCATCATCAAACGGCAGAGATGGCAAGTTTTTAATCGGCAAGATAACCGCCTTCTTCGATCTGCCGTCTACAACACTAATTTTTTCAAAGATTTTAAGCGGAACCCTGGAAAAAGAAATCGTTGTCAAAGTGATTTTTCCGTTTYTGGTAGCAATTGGCACACTCCAGACAGTCTTCTTTGGGTATCATTTGTTGTATGTCCTCTCGGCGCTTACAACACTCGAGTATAAGATCTTATTGGACATGCGCTACAAACAGATGACAAAAGATACTGCAAGCACTGCCTTCCCTTCGAATCCGTTTGATCGAGGGTGGTTGACAAATCTAAAAACTGTGCTTGGACCGATTCCTTTAGTGTTCCTCCCGATTCAAGTTGATCCGAAACAAATACAGCCAATTCTCACGACTCGAGGAAAGAAAGATTCGTAACGTATCTTTACATGAAGGCATTGAAACAATCTGAGATAATAAGGAAGTCGTCCCATTCTTGTGGCTTATCTAATTCAAGATGATGATCAGTCGCTCGATCCACGGATGGTCTTCAAACTCAATACGCTTGTAGAAGTTCCGCTAACAACACTGTTGCTTCGGCTTCTCGTACCCTGATGGATAGAATCAGATGGTGAAAAGAAAAAGCGCAAGAGCCAATCCATTCCGAAAGCTCCATCTCTATCTCGCATAGAATCGCGAAGACGATCAAAGGTTTCAGCTTTCGCATATATCCTTGCATTCCAGCCGTTGAGCTTAATTACGTAAGTGTCATTTACCTTATCGTAGCGCTCAACTATTCCCTCGCCGTATGCAGTAAGAACATCTTCTCCAACAGCTGCCTTCAGCCCCCGGCATATTGCCTCTGGTTGCAAGTACAATACCATACGAGCAGAAGGAGCACTCACAATATGGATTCCTGTTGTAGGTTGGACACTTTCGAGAATTCCTGACACGCCCATTTTTGTCAATACTGGATAGCCTTCCTTGCATCCTCTTGCTATTTGATAGCTCACATCATTCTCTTGAAGCCAAGCAGTAGGATTTCGACCATTAGCTAGCTTCCAACTAGATAAACAAACGCAGTAAAATCCGTCGCTTTTTCTGAATTTCATTACTCTCCCGTTACCGAAGGCGGTCGATACTGCAGCAGAATCCCGATAATACTGTTTAAACTTGGGTGTGGCGAGCCCGTCGTCCTTCATCTTTTGCGTTCCAGCGGTTGTTGTTAAGCGATCTTTTATTTCGCGATTAATACTGGAAACAAGAGTCCCGAAGGCAGAAAATATACCCTTTGCTTCGTKTGCATCTTTCCACGTCTGACAAGCCTTGACAGTACTATACAACTTCGGGTGCGACCCGTCTGCAAGGGTCCAAGAAGTAACTCCAAGACAAATAATTTTGTTCTCGGTGTCATTTGAATCAATCGAGTCATTATCTGGTATTGGAAGTGGTACAATAACCTCAGCATTGCCATAAGGCGTGCGGATGATGCTTCCTTTGATGTATGGAAAGTGGTCATATTTCGGCGATGGCGGAATATCCGAAGAAATGGCCTGCCTTCTGAATAATGTAGAGAGCAAGCTTTCCTTCGTGACTTTCACGTCATCTTCATTAAGGTACGCGCGTGCAGTCCATCCAACCATATCCACAACAACCATCTTTTGATCTATGCGATGATCAACAACAACTCCAGGACCGTATGGTGTGGAACATTTTTCTCCCGTACGTTTACGTGGGTTTGGAACCCAGAACGAAAAAAGGGGAGTTCCTTTCTTATCATTAAATGTTGGTAATGTAGGCGGAATAAACTTGGATATCGAGCGCCCGCATATTTTTGCAGTTGCTTTGAAAGAATCATCGGGTTCTTTTCCTCGACGACTCGCTTTCCCAGCAATTGCAGTTTTGACTGCAGGAAGACTTGAATTGGTCCCGAGAGCATGGTTGTCACTCTCAGTTTCACTTGTTGTTGACTCGGATTCGTCGATTGATATAGAATTTAAAATTTTATCATTCTCGGGTGCAGCGTAGTCTTCTGGTGTCGTAGAACAAGTAACCGTTAGTCCTTGCTCTAACGCGCTTCGATCATTTTCATCTCCATTTGTTCTTTCACCTTCAAAACCAGTTTCGTCGCCACCTTCAGTGATTATTGTTACTTCGTCAGTTTCGACTACTGTCTCCAACACACTCGAGGATCGTTTTTCTGTCTCCTTTCCTTGTTTGGGCCGGATTGTTTCGTCCTCAATATTCCTAACGTGTTCTCGGACTTGTACATCTAGCGGTCTCCAATCTAACTCAACGTCGTAAAGATCGAACTCAGGATCAAACCCTCTTATTGTTCCRTTTCCATACGGGGTTCTCACCTTCGCGCCATCTTCCCATAATCTTTCGGCTTTAATAAGACAAACAACACCCGCATCGGTGTTGGCCAGAGTCTTGTTTGCTTTCCAAATTGATTGATTTAATTCTGCACGCCTTTCGGCTTTTTGTTTCGGCGATTGCCATTTCTTGTTCGGCACAGCATTGAAGTCCTTGACTGCATCACTACAAACTCTATTGAGACCGTTCATGCGGATCAATGGTGGATCTTGAGTAGCTGCGTGGAGCGCTGCTTCAGGATATGTCCTGAAAAAACACGGGCGGAATTCCGTTTCTTTCCATCGTTCTGGATTGTATCCATACGTTCGCTCCCTAGCCTGYACCAAATGCACATATGTTGCCTGGTATTCGTAAGGAAAGTTATCGTGCATCATCTCCCCAGCCTTCACATCACCCTGACCATTGTCACAAACAAAAATATGTTGATACTCAGGATATATCGAAACATATCTTTTGAAGTTTTCAAATTTTTTCTGGGCTAGTGGCTCAAAATCATTGGTAGTGATATACTGGCTGCCGGATGCAAGATCGCCGGCTAGGAGTGAGGGTGTGGTGTGCATACCTCTTCGGCCGTCTTCTCCTACGGCACGCAATTTTTCAAACTTGGCAAAGTTACTCTTCTCGCTCATGTCTTTGTAAACGTGAGGTCTTGCCGAAAGAAACACAAGATTTCCAACTCTGTTCTCTGGCCAATCGTCGGGTCCCGAAATGCCAAGGTCAAGCTCCCTGTAAAAAGCCAATACACCCGGATAGACAACCTTTTTGGGATAGCGCTTATCGATTCCAGCTGGATAATGACCCCCACTAGATAACAAAGTATCGTCGACATCAGATAAAATCTTCCTCCATGCCATCAAGTAACGYCGCCTTGGGCCTCGCCTCGTCCCAGGATGCCTTCTTGTGACCTGCATCGCTCCCTCCTTTCGCATATGGATAAGTATGTCATGTCGAACCGTCTCAGACTTGATGTCATCGTAGATCAGTTTGCTCATACAATAATAATCACCCTTTGCATCTGTCAAGGTTTTTATATCACTTAGGTCATCACCAGTCGAATTGAGAAGTATGTTGCGAACCCAGTACTCAGCTCGGGGATTTGCCCTCAATTTTAGGATTTGTAAGGCGTGCAAAACAATGACCCGTGAATACACTGTCAAGGCTGCTAATCGCTCCACTGCAAGGATTTGTATTAATTCCGTCCGATGCTGTCCACCGAATCCATGGTCTTTGATTTTGTACACTAGCAAAGCCAGCTTCAAGTGGCAAACAAGGTAATTCAGAGTTGTTGCGTCGCAATCCAAGAAGATGTCAATAATTTCTTTTTCCTTTTTTAGGACGAAGCGCCGATTCAAAAAATTGTTGATTGTAGATGGTATAAGTGGCTGATCGATGTCTCGCAGACACTCATTGATCTTCAAAAGATATTGTTCTGCCGTCACCCTATGATCACCGATCGAATTTGCGAGAGAWATCGATCGACGCAATTTTGTTTGTTGACTCAGAGYAATTCGATGCACATATCTATCGTACACGTGCATAGCGTAGCTTGAAAACAGGACTCCAACAAATCCTAGACTGGAACTATACCTTCCTATGGCCACAGGAGAATCCTGAGCAAAGAAAAGGGCGGTAGAAAACAACATGGCAAAAATGGTCCAAAAGCGATTTTCATATTCTTGTGCGTGATGAACCCCATGTTCTTCGTAAGCCACGAATAGGTACAATGTGTAAACCAGAGAGAGCAGGCAGCTGCAGCAGATTGGGGCCATGGCAAAAAGTGCCAGAAACAATAAAACAAAGGCCTGAACCAAGAACAGCAATGGTTTTAAAGGGATTGAAACGACGATCGAGACGTTCAAAAACAAAAAATCGATCGACCGCAAAGCGAAAATTCAAGAATAAGACGACGAAGAGAAAGAGGTCGATATGAGTTATGGACGAGGTAAAACTATTGACTCTACTTTTTAAGTTTGATAACCCGCAGTAAATAGAAAAGGAGCACTTACCACCAATAGTGCCAGCAGAATGAGCATTGCCACGACCCGATCCATGATTCTCCTTTAGCTCAAGTCCAAGGACCGTACTGCTACAGTAGCAGAATGTCTATTTATCCACGATCGAGTAGAATGACATGTATTTCTTTCAATTCGGTTTATTTTTCAAAGTTGCGAAGGTAAAGAGTCTTCGAAGTAGTTTTTGGCTTCCAAAGAAAGAGTCAAGTCAACGAATCAACAAATCAATCTATCGGGAATGAATCTTCAGATTCACCACACAGTGTCCTTTCAGATTCAGACTGAACAAGACTTCAAATTTGGTTGGTTTCGTGCCGGGTAGATAAGAAGTCTTCCCTGCTGTATCTTGCAGCAAGAGATCTCTTTCTCTTCGTCACTACCCTAGTAGAGGTGCTTCTTTGTCCTTTTGTGTCGATCAAAGCACATTGCGATTATGATGCGGTCTTGCATCGGGTGGTACGAGTAGTTGTTCGTAACATTATTCCCGTTATCCGTACCATTCACCAGTGAAAAAATTCAGTCGCGTGTCGTCGTAAAGAATATCTTCTCCGCTAAGCAACAAATGATGACTTGTGATCGATCCTTTCTCGTCATAAAAAAAAGCATGTCAGTCACGGATAGAACTGCAGAGCTGATTCGATTCGATTCCTTCGCCAACTTTTGGGGTTCCCTCACACAGGGGTCACAATTGAAGCCCTGCATAAGAGTTTGAACATACCTGAACACTGTACAGTACGTACGTACGTACGTACTTTTATGCAGGGGTCTGCTTTTATGGGTGTGACTAAAATGTACCGGTAGGTAGAAGTAGTATTATGCGTCAGATGTTGTTGATTCTTACTTTTGTAAAGTACCACGTACAGTACTTTATGTAAAATCAAATCTAACTGATCTCATAGCAAGATGAGTCCACTTTCCAACCCGGTTAAAGAAGACAAGTCAAAGTATTTTTGTTTCTAGTAGTAATAGAAGTCTACGTAGTACATGGTTCTTCGAAAAAATTTCCTCTATCTTTCATGATTCCTTCCCACAGATACCTCCCGAACTGTGATGTTCCCCCTCCGCAATGCTTAATACGGACTGTACAGTCATCATGATAGCGCTTAATAGCACCACTGCACCCATAGAAAAGGCAATGTACGAATTTCTCTTGTACTTTTTCATCAAGATGGACAATCCAACCTGACCAAAGTAGGTTGCAACGAAACCAATGCAGAAGCACACCGGCCCGTATCGCGGATCCAAGAGGCCAAAGACAAAGAACGACGTCGTTGCAGTGAAGCTTGTGAAAAAAATCATGCAAGCAGATGACGCAGAAGCTACTCCTGGGTGGACTTCCATTGCCAGCATCAGGGGACCTTTTACTATACCTCCGCCAACTTGGAATGATGGACAGAATAAACGCAAATCTTTTTGTTAGTGGCAGTCGTTTATATAGCAGTTAAGAAATCAACGTTGACATCGACACGCGAAATACTTACTTCCGAACATTCCAGCAAAAAATCCCGCTAAGCAACAAATGCTAGGGTAGATTATTGTAGACCGAGCATCCCATTTGATATCACCTTGCACGGTCTTGTACCCAACCCTTTCTTTAACATCGTTTCTCTTCACAAGATAATTTCGAATATAGATGGTTATAAAAATAATCCAGCCCATGATAATACCATTTGCGATCCAAAATTCTCGCGACCCGCATTTGATACCGAGCGGAGATGGAAATGCACCACCACCCTTCAGCAAGTTCATCGCAAGGACCACGATGAAAAGACCAACCAATACCTTAACATTAAACAAAGGAGTCTTCCGCTCCTCTTCTAAAATCTTTTGCAGCTGTTGTGCGTCGGTCTGATCGCCCATCATAACATTTCTATCTCCGGACCCAGGACTTTCTCCCTCTTGGAGGTCCATGTCTTCCAAGAGTTCATTCCCAGCCTGATTCATGTCTTCTTCCTCCTCCTGTTTACTGATGTGCGTGAGTTCACTTTCTTTAGTTCCATCTGGTTTCAGACCTTCTTGCCGAAGAATTCGAGATTCTTTCTTGTACATCTTGATGGCTTTTTTGAGCGAGTTGTTCGCTGTGAATGAAAGTAACAAAACCAGCATGAATGTTAACAATTGCTCCGGCAAAATTTTGTTCAAGAAGGCACCGATCAGCGCTCCAGCAATAGTAAGAGGTTCCATCACCAAAATCAAATCCCAATCGATCAATGGTCGGTCGGCAAGTGGGTGCCGCTTTTGGGTATTGAGAATCATATTGGCAATGGCGCCACCAAAGACGGTAACATTCGATAGAGGAATTCCTATAGGTGCATGAGGGAAAATCCGGAAAAGATGAGAAAGGAKCAATACAAAACTACAAACCCTTTGGGATAGCGTATATCTGAGACCAACGATCAGCACGATAAAACACAAAATTCTGCACGTCTTTAACACCCGAAACTGGGTTCAGCACCAAATTTTGGCGTTCTGAAGAGCTAAGCATTTGCGTCATACGCACCGTGCTTAGGAGAAAATCCCATAACCAAAATATAAATTGGAACTAGAATTCCACCGCCACCGATCCCACCTCCCGCGGCAAGCATGAGACCGCATATGGCCATCGTAAATCCCACTCGGTCGCTCATCGAAAGGGGAAACAAAGGAGCATGATTTTCGTCATAAACCGGCTTATGAACACGATGGTGCTCCGAAGATCCTTCTGTTAAGGAGCGTTCCGACCAGTTGATATCACTATCAGTCTCAATTGAATTCGAAACGAAAGCGGCGGCAGCGATGGAGGCAATGACTATTACGATCCACGGTAGGGCAAGGGACCATATTTTCGTCATTTTTTCTGTCGCTTCATCCTTTTCCTCACTCGTTGTCTCTTGACATCGACCTCTCTTTTTGTACTGGATACTCGTTGATATTCTGGTCATGGTAATTGAGTCTGCGTTCTTGTTCTAATGATTTCTCCGGAACTCAACAGAGGGCTTCGTCCACGGTGCCTTCTTATTTTAAATCCCGAGTGAGAATAAGAAGCAGGTCGAAGTACGGTAGAGCGCATCCGAGGGGGGCAAAGAAGTGCACGTAAACATCCAGACGCAACGGACATAAGTGGAAGGAGTAGACGAGAAATTGATTAATTTTCTCAATTGAGAGTTGAGAGTATCATTCTCATCCCTCGTATCATACATACATATCGTACAAGTGAATATGAATCTCCTTTCGAAACAAATTGGCGCATGCCCTTTTCAGTCCAAATCTATCGTGAATAAAATTTTCAGAGCGCAGCCGGATCGGCGTACGGTATCAACCAGACTGCACGCGCAGCGCGAGGCGCCTTCATCTAGCACATGGACATCTTCATGGTTTTTAGTCACCGCGAGAGTCGTGCTGCCATGAGTTGCCGTTCCGTTTGAGCATCCCATTGYGCCCATTACTCCTGTTGTTGTACCGGTTAGGACAAAAAGTGTTTATCATTGCTCTGGCTCTTGATTACTACCCTTGATCCCTCGAACTGCTCCGTAGGCCTTCGATAATAGGATCATCGATACACCTGCGACAAAGCAAAGAAAACGCACCACTTGATAGTCGTGGACAGCTCATCACGAAAATCCCGCCACCATGATTTCCATGATAATGATATTGAATCAGAAGGGCGACATCATGATCAGCCGCCAATACAGAGATGATGTCAGCCGAGCAGGAGCCGATTCCTTTCGATTGCAGGTAAGCTATACGTTAGTGACATGAGTATTGTTCGATAGCCTGCAGTGGTTTCCAGAGTCATCTGCAATGTGGCAGCAGTAGCAGCAACAAAAGCCTAACACGATACCGTGCTGTCCATATCGTGCTCTGTTGCGTACACCAGGTCGTCGCCACCAAGAATACAGGTACCGAGGCCCCCGTGGCACGCATCGAGAACAATTCATTTTTGTACACCCGTCACTTAAACATGTTCTTTGTGGCCGTGACAAGATCCAACGTAAATCCGGCACTCGTCTTTGAATACCTCTACCAGTTAGTAAGGATTCTCAAATCCTACCTCGGTGATGAGTTTGATGAAAATGCCATGAGAAACAACATGACCTTGATTTACGAGCTGATGGATGAAACGATGGACTTTGGATATCCACAAAATTGCGCGGTAGATGTTTTGAGATTGTACATCAACCTTGGCAATGTCAAGGCAAAAGAAGAGCAAGAACCATCTCAATTAACATCGCAGATTACTGGAGCCATTGATTGGAGGCGTGAGGGAATTCGTCACAAAAAGAATGAAGTGTACATTGATGTTCTGGAAAGTGTCAACTTGCTCCTCTCTAGCAACGGAAATGTTTTGAGAAACGAAGTGACGGGTGCTGTACAAATGAATACAAAGTTGACGGGGATGCCGGAATGTAAATTTGGTCTCAACGACAAACTCGTAATTGAAAAGGAGGGCCAGAGGAAGCCCGGTGTGGAAATCGACGATTGTACCTTCCATCGTTGTGTTCGACTGGGAAAATTCGATGCAGATCGCACGATTACCTTCATTCCCCCGGATGGCGAATTCGAGCTGATGAAATACCGTGTGACCGACAATATCAATTTGCCGTTCCGTATGATCCCAGCCGTTCAGGAAGAGCAGAGCTTGACAAAGTAAGTTGCAGCGTCGTGCTTGGAAAATCGCTTGTTCTAGTAGCGTGAATGAGAAGGCAATCTTTGCGTCACTCGGAAATAGAAAAATTGGCATACTAATCGTTTGCAATGGATTTCAATTCATTTGTTTTCATCTCTAGAATTTCCATCGATCTGAAGGTGATTGCTAATTTCTCCGATCAATTGTTTGCAACCCACGTGGTCATCAAGATACCGGTCCCAAAGAACACCGCGAAGGCGAAGATCAAGCACTCTTTTGGCCGCGCCAAGTACGAGCCAGAACAGCAAGCTATTGTCTGGCGTGTAAAGCGATTTCCCGGAAAGGCTGAATGCCACATCCACGCAGACGTTGACTTGATGCCCACGACGCGCCCCAAGCCATGGAGTAGACCTCCAATCAACGCCGAGTTCCAGGTCCCCATGTTCACTTCCAGCGGCGTTCACGTTCGCTTTCTTCGTGTCTACGACAAGTCGGGTTACCACACGAGCCGATGGGTTCGATACATCACCAAGGCCGGGAACTATCAAATTCGTATCTAGAGTATTGCGGAAAATGCCTCTCATAGGCAAGGAGGCGATTGGGAAGAATTGCATTCCGAAAATATTTCTGTGTGTTGCCGTCGCAGAAGAGATTTTTTTCGTGTTGGAAAATAGATTTTGTAACTTAAAGTAGTATATCGTTTACACAGTTATAGGCACCGCAATATTCAAAAACAACAATCTGTGCATTGACAAACTGCTCAGTGTAGCATAAAGTGCATTGCGATGGAATTTACTTTTTTCTTTATGCCACGGCCTAGCGCGACCGAGACCTGGAGCTTCCGCTGCGGGACGACGCGCGACGCGACGACCCGAATGAACTTCTTGACGACGAGGACGATTCCGATCGGGACCTGGACCYCCTCCCGCGGGTTCGCTCGCGGCGGCGCGAGCGCTCCGGCGGGAGAGAGCGAGATCCGGACGAGGGCGACTCCCCGCCGCGGTGCGCTGGTGCTTGCGTTCGCCCGGGCGGGCTCCTCCGCGGCCTGCGGGGGGACCTGGAGCGCGATTCCGATCGAGACGTCCGCCTCCGCAGCCCGCTGTCTACGGGGCTGGCGGTCCGCTCCGGGAGTCCCCCGCGGGCCTCGCTGTTCTTCTTGTCCCCGGGACCACTGGGGGCTTCCGTCGCCTTGGTCGATCGTTCCTCGCTTCCGCCCTTAGAATTCTTCTCGTTTTCTGCGGGTTCCCTCTCGTTTCGGCTGTCCATTTTCTTCGATCGCTTCGCGTCGGCCTTGTCTTTACGGTCTCCCCCGTGCTCTACGCTCCTGCTGCGGCTGCGACTGCGGCTCCTTGACCGACTGTCGTCGGGACTTGCGCTTCGGCTCCAAGACCTCGTTCTCTTTTTACCGGACTTGCTCCTGTCTGTGTCCCTGCGATTCKWTCGGCCATCCTCCTTCCTACGCACCCTTCTCCGATCGGATTCCCTCGATGAGGACGACCACGACGAGCGGCTGCTGTACGAGGACGACCTCGACGAGCTGCTGCTGTAGGACGAAGAGGATGATCTAGAGCGCGAAGACGAGGACCGGCTGTAGCTTCCAGTGCTGCTACCACTGCTGCTGCTATAGGAACGCGAGCGGCGCTTTCTCGATCTCGATCGACCCCGGGGTTTCGATTTTTTGCGCTGGTTCCTCTCTTCCTTCCGGAGCGCCTTTTCCTTGCGTTTCTGGTCCCGCTCGAGCTTTCGCTGTGCCTTTTCGGCCGCCTTTTTCTCCCGTTCCTTCTTTTCTGTCTTGAGGCGTTTCTTCTCCTCCTGGAGGTCCCGGTCAAAGGCTGCCCCCTCGACGTGCTTCGCCTTGTCAATCCCAAAGGCGTCCGCCAGCCGGTGGTTTTCTTCCTCCTTCCGGGTGGCTTCGACGTGGGAGTTCGTGTTGGAGAAGGGCCTCCGGTCACCCCCGCGGTGGTGGCCATCGCGGCGGTATTGCTGCGGTCTGCGGCCGTAGTCTCTGGGAGGGCCTCCGCCCCTGCCATAGGCGGTTCCCCGGTACCCCCGATCTGTCCTGCCGTTGCTTTTGCCGCTGGTAGATGCAAGCCCGCTGTAGCCCCTGTCGCGGTTGTTAGAGTTTCGAGCCGCATAGCCGTCGCCGCTGTCGCCCCGCTGATTCCGCCGCTCCTTCCGCTCGGCTTCCTCCTCTTCCAGACGGGCCATCCTTCGGGCCCTCTCCCCGGCCACGCGCTTCTCGACTTCCTCGTCGTCGGAGACGCTCCGCTCCAGGTCCAGGCGAAACTCCAGCAGCGAGTTCTCGAGCTTGCGGAGGCGCTCGTGCCTCTGGATCTCGGTGTTTCCCTTCTCGCGGGCCGCCGCCGAGACGGGATTGTATGCCTTCGGGCGTTGCGAGGCGTTGCGCTCGCGCTGATGCCGGATCCGCTGGTTCCGGACGTGGCTGCGGTTGGCCTGGACGTGGCCCGAGGTCGCCGTCCCGCGGACGGAGGACAAGCCGATGCCGTTGTACATGGTGCTCTTGGTTGGATTGGATTGCTTTGGATTGAATCGGGTGTGGTGGCAGTATGGTTTTTAATGTGGATGGGTGGCTGCCGCGGGTCCTTGCGGATTCGGTTTAGTGTGCTTAGGTGTGCGAAGTGTTTAAGTTCGATAACGAATAATCATACCGGYAGGTCGGTGTTTGTTGTACAATCACAAAAAAGCATGCCGTACGGAACCCGAGGAGTGCCGCAAATAGCTCAAAGGCTTACGATACTACGAGTACTTGTAGAAAGCTCCACGACCATTTGCTCTACCGTACCGTACGGTATCGTACGTACCGACCCCGCTTCCAGAGTTTCGTTGGTGATACATTATGACGTGTATTAATTCATGTAGAATTCCTACTCATATTTCCTTTCCCTCGCGACACACGATTCGAGTCTCCTGAAAACCCGGCAAGCCCATAACCTGGACCGYAAGAGACTTACAAGAGGAATGACACTGTACCGTACCGTACGGTAGAATGCATGAGAGAAGTAGGATGTTTACTGTACTAGTAGTGAAAAGGCATTTCTACTTTTGCTATGTCTAGCTAGAAGATAGTCATATAAATTTCATTGTCAAGCCCCTGTTGCGCATGAGAACATTGCGGTGGCTGTCTTGGGTGCAGCAGGTTGCAGTGAGAAAGACGATGGCGCTTCACAACAACAAGAACGAAAAGGAAGAACGAGCATGCCAAAACATGCTGATAGAGCTGCACCAACTTCAGAGAAAATTTGAATTTCTTAATATACCATGCCGTGTCTAATAGTGCGAGATCACCGCTTGCTAGCAAAATGATGCAGCCACCATCAGAAGTAAGGCGACAGCACTGCTAGATAGTCGATTTGCTCTTACTGCTAATACTAGTACTAAGAGGTTGAAAAATAAAATAGTGTCGTTGATCCAATTCCAGGTCAGGSTTACTGTGCCACTTGTGGAGCAAGAACGTGTGAATCGCATACTAGTGCCACCCAAGAGAAAAAATCTCGATACTATCATCAAAAGCAGCAGCAACAGCACTAGCAGAACCGAAGCCTTCACTGGCGAAACGACAGAGGGTCAACACGGGCAACAACCGAACCATTCAAGAAATCGTGATACTACAACACTGAACAATGGTGTAGCAATCACACGTGTCTTTCGGTTGTACTTGTTTGACGGCAAGAAGCAACAACCGCGCCTTGGTTGACTACACCACCCTGGCTCTCCCCAGGTTTTGAATCATTCGAAACGATTCGAGGACCGTGCTGCGTGTTCGCCGAAGCGATTCTTTCATTCCACCATCGAACCGTCGGACCCATAGCTATCGTCGTCTTCCTCATCGAGTCCAAACTGACCCATCAGGTTCACTAGCGCTAGCGCTGCATTTCCGGCACGCTCCCTTCGTTCGTCATCGGTCAGAACCCCGCTCTTGGAGGCCTGCCGGATCTCCGATGCTTCTTTCAGCACGCTTTCCATCTCGACGAACAATTTTTCTGTCACCTGGTCCTCGGGATCCAGTGCCGGCATCTCTTCCTTCAGACCAAACACGGAAGCGGCATTGTCGCTTTTTGCTGCTGCCACCGGGGGAGCCACGGGTGGTTCGTACCCGGATCCTTCCGGCTTTGTTTCGATGGTCTCTTCTCCCTTACAACTCTTTGTCGCCGCCGGGGGCGCCGACTTGTCGACGGCCGACTTGCCGTCGGCGTAGGTGGTTTTCAACGTGCTGGACTTGGAAGCGGACATTGCGGCACTCGACCAAACGGTTCCCTCTATCGCTTCGAYGACCCGTGCGAACCCGTCCTTGTCCCTGTCGTCACGGCCTTTTTGCTGTCCTTCCTCCGACAAATCGGCCTCGATGTATTCGTACCCGTTGTCAAGGCACCACAAAATCCGTCGCGAGTACTCCTTTTCGTGGTCCTTCCCCCGGAGTTCCGATGGGGAGAGTTCGGAGAGGCTGACCCCGACACAGAGTCGCAACAAGTCTCCGCAAGTGTGGTCGGAGATCGCTCGCTGGTGGGTGGCGTGGAGCGAATCAAAAGTGGCTATCGCCCCGGCGTTGGGCTGGTCTCGGCAACAATCCGGATTCGATTGGACCGCATCGAACACGAGTATGACGCCGTCCTCTATCGTGGATGCGGCTGTTTCGTCTTGCGCTCCGTTCGTTTCCATCCCGATGCCTTTCAACGAAATATCGGCGCTAAAATATTTGTTCCGAATGACAAAACCAGAATCGGTGTCACCGTTGCTGCTGTGATCGGCATTCTTATTTTCGAAGAAAGCAGTAATGGCTTTTTGTAGGAGATGAGCACTGGGGTTGTCATCGGTGGGCCCCAACCGAATGGTTGATGTTGATGCCATTGTGCGAATAATTTTGGGGCACCTGGTCAGAATCAGAGATGAAATACGGCAGGACAGCGAAGGTGGAACTAACTCGCCATAAATACTTCATGCTGTTGTCATTGATCATTGTTTTCCATTTTTGTTTTTTCGCCAACGATTCGGTACAATACTCGTAACTCGTAATTTCAACTCTTTTTCTAAATTTTTCTAAATTTCTAAATAGGAGCGTGTCGGAAAACAGAATGAAAATGAACTGGAAAACTGTTTTAGTCTTCGTCGTAAATTGAAAAATATACGGAGTATATCCTAGACTCTATCGTATCATTTAGTTGCATTTTACTGTATCATATTACTGTTGCAACTGTATCATATCGACGATTCCGATTGATGCACTGCAAAGAAAGAGCGGTGTCAACAGAAAAAAGCAAAGACTGGCACTTCCTTCAGATAACATAGTTACGATATTGTTTTAATAGGAGAAAACTTTCCTTTTCTAAACCTTGTTCATGGTGGGTTGTTACACGAGTTTGTTTGCACTCGGTGCACTTAGACTTTAGTCTTTTCGGCAACTTGTCACTATTCAGTCGCAAAAATATTACATCGCTCCGAATGTAAACAATTTTAAACAAACTATGATCGAAATTGAATCTGAAATCTTTTTGTGCAGTACTGAATCAAAAAGTGCCATTCAAGAATTTCCCTTCGACAATGGCACTAAAAAAATCGAGTTTTTTGTCTTTTACACCAAAAAGTTGTTCTGATATCCAATGGAAGCGCAAGAGGACTTTGCCCAACATTAGTTCGCTCCCTATCGATACATAGACTCTGCCTTTTGGGACTCCCGTTCCATCAAATCCAATGGTCTTAAGACGTTCATTTTGTTCGTTTCAACAATGTGGCCATTCATTACCATCTCGTCCAATAAAAAGTGAACTTGTTCGAGTTGATACATGATATCTAATTCACAAATGCTTCCAGCCCATTTATCCATGGTTTCTACCAAATTGTGAATGAATTCCAACAGTCCCAATTCATTTTCGGGATTGTCGTTTCCATCCTTGCTTAGTCGACTTCCAACAATGAAAAAAAGACTGACAATAGGAAACGCGTGAGATGAGGTAGCGAACCACGTTTCTTTCCGTGATAAAAATCAAGTTCACATTTCGTACCTTGCGTAACGGCGATAGACGACCTTGTATCCACGGTATTCAACAAATGAACATTGGAGTTCCGAACGAGACAGACATTTTCGGATAATCTCGCTCTCGAGGGCACTTCGCTCCACCATAGATATCCATTCGTAGTAAGAGGAGAGGCGGGTCTGCCCCTGCTTGTTTCTGTAGAGAGAACAAGAGCGGAAACAGCGAAATCAGGTAAGGGTCGGCCGTTAGCAAATAGTCGATGAGTCGAAACGAACACACAAAACAAAATTCGCACAGCCCACCGTCAAATCCGCGAATTCCATTCGCTCTGCTTCTCTATCAGCCATAAAATATCTTACTTACACCATAAGAAGGAAGGAAATCGGCATGTTGACAGGAGACTAGAGACTTGTCAAGTTCTTCCGACAAAGAATAGAAGACGCCGGTGTTGTCAGAAACCTTTTTCTACCCTRTGAATACGATSATACTATTACGACTACTCGTACTTATCGTAAGGTACGTACCGTAGCGTTCAATTGAAAAATGACCTTTCATCTTCACGCAGCTAACGGCTGGACAAAATGAAAATTTTCAAGTCGAAAAATAATAATTTTGAATTCCCGTCGTCCCCTACCTCTTTCGTCGCATTGCTTTGGGTTTTCCCTCTTCCTCAAAATTGGAGTTGATTTGTTGTTACGTAAGAGTACTACAGGTAGTGAGTGAACGGTGTTTATTGCGGAACGAGAAAAAAAGTCCTCTTTATTACTGTATGACCCCTTTACCGTACGTGCGTCCCGTACGGTACAATAAAAGTATCATAAAGTAAAGTACGGTACGTAACGTACTACAGTACTACAATAATATTCCAACGAAACTGAAAACAACATCACCGAATGCTACCGCTACTCAGCATCGTAATCGATGACCTTCATCCTCTTTTGTCGATTTAAAATACGAAATAAAGGGTTGACGAGTGGGTATCTTTCTATCTCCCGAGACACACCCAACATTGAGAATAGAAAATTAGGCATCGACCATGGCGCGAAAATGGGCTGCCAAGCTTGACATGTACAGGAAAGTCCCTTTGGATCTGGCTGAAGGGACTAGGCGAGGTAATATTGTCTCCTTGGTAGCAATATTTGTGATGTCGTACCTCTTTTATAAGGAAACAAGAGATTATTTCACGACAAAATTAGTACCCAGCTTGTACCTGGATCGACGGCATTCGGAACAAGAGCAAATTAATGTCACCTTCAAAATTACGATGATGGATCTGAGATGCGATTTCGTGGAAGTCGACGTTGTGTCGGTGTTGGGAATCAATCAAAATGCTACGAAATTCGTGAAAAAAGTTCCATTGGACGCAAACGGAGTTTTGAATACGATGGCGGAAAGAAACTTGGATCAAAAGGATATTCAAGATATWGCTCTACATGACGCCGCCGTCACAAAATCGATTGAAGATCTTCACGTAAACGGCGAGGATGCTATCCGACTCGATTCGAAAACTCTTGGCTATGCACTCCATGAAAACGATCTTGTTTTTGTCGACTTTTTTGCTTCATGGTAAGTAGCTTCGAATGCATTGAATCAGTACCTGATTTTTCACATCATCATATCATTGGGAATGTAATTCTGATCGACATTTCTTTTTGGTCAAACAGGTGTTCGCACTGTCGTGTATTGGCACCTACGTGGGAAACTTTGGCCAAGGTCATGTTAGATGCAAACGAAGAATCGGAAGAAGAGGGTGGGGATGAATACGGGGAACAGGAATTAAGAACGGCAGAGGCATTAGACGTACCAGTTGTCATTGCGAAGGTGAGAGATATTTCTACACTAAGCCATAATGAACGGCAGGTAGTCCCATTTTCCTAACCGATTACTTGTTTGTTTAATATTCATAGGTGGATTGCGTCGAACATGATAAACTTTGTCGCGAACAAAACATTCAAGCATACCCTACACTGCGTTTGTTCGTCAATGGTAAACCATTTGATAGTGGGGATTATGAAGGCCATCGTACAGTGCTTGACATGGTTCAATACCTAAAATTGGCGGAGAATAAATTGGGCAAAGAAAAAAAGCTTTCAGCCGACGGCTTGCACAGTGCATTGGAAAGACACTTGGAAATGTCGGTGGAAGAACGACACTGGGCCGAAGCCTTCCAGCGACTACAGAAACGTGACCAAGATGTCTCTTGGAACCCAATGGAGCACCCCGGGTGCCAGATATCTGGTTCGCTTCTTCTCAACAGGGTCCCGGGTAACTTTTATATCGAGGCACATTCGCCCTTTCATAATTTGGCTCCACACATGACGAACTGTTCACATGAAATCCACTATCTTTCGTTTGAACCCACAGGCGTGGATCTGAAGGAAGGAGACCCGCTCCCTCCTAACTTCTATAAATCGAATTCGCCTCTCAATGGTAACGTTTATGTGACACAAAAACTGCATGAATCGTATCATCATTACATAAAATTGATCTCTACAAATGGAAACAAGTTCCAGGTTCTTCAAAGCAGTCAACTAGCATCGTATCCGCACGATGATACTCCAGAAGCTAAGTTCATTCTTGACTTGTCACCGATTGCGGTCTCATACGAAAAGATCTCGCGAAAGTGGTATGACTATATCACTTCCCTAATGGCCATCATTGGGGGCACCTTTACAGTCGTTGGGTTTTTGGATTCTGGTATCCGAGTTGCTACCAGGAAGAGAATAAAGTTATCTCACAACAACAAGCCACGGACCATCTATTAGCTTCACAAACATGCTTGTCTGGAAAGACATGTTCCTTCTCGAAGGTAAACGAAGCTCTTTATACTATAAAACCTCGACTTTTCATCTACTTTCAATCAGAAACGGTGGTGTAATAATACTAAATGAGTTATGTACCTCTTTGRAACAAAGAAGACATAACCTTGAAATTGAACTGTTCAAGTTGTGTTTTCTGACCTTTGCCTAAAATAACCACGACTTGTTTCCAAATGTTAAACTTAATTATGTACGTTTACCGCTATTTCCTTCTAACTTCACATGTCGAGTGCACACGAAGTTGCCAGTCGACTAGTTGATACAACTGAATTAGTGTGAGATCATCAACAACGAAACTTCTTTCCTAACTTACTTGCTCATATACGAAAGATGAATTCAAGTCTTATGGRAGAGTTCAACGATACGGTAAGACGCACTTCAAATAGAAAGCATTTCGTGTACAGTATTTTGGCATGCTTCATTGATCGACATAATCGAACCAATTGTCTCGCAGTTGGGTAGGTATGAACAACGACGAGCCGTGGATGAAGGCCGCCACGGACAGGCCAGAGATCATCGAAACAATGGCTCGGCGCTTAAATTGTTCAAACAAGTTATCCGTCGTACCCTCTAACTTCTCGCTCTCCTCGGGAAAGAAAATGTACTTGAGCATGCGGGCACCAAATCCCAGAGAGAATCCACGCACTAACACCTCGAGGGTAGTGGCAAAGTACACAAGCCAGCTCCATATTTGCTCCRTCTTTGCGGGTACGCAATTGCAAGGTGGACACTGGCCCTCAAATACAGTGCCTTTGCTGTTATAATTTTCGAATAAGGCGGATGCCGATACGGTATTGGCCGTGCTTGAGAAAAAGAGCATACATAACACGACGACAAAACAAAGAAATCGGGACATTGACACCGCCTTGTTTCTCAGAGTCCTCTTACTGAGGAAGACATTATCGACCACGTTGCTTGCCATTTTTAACTCGTATTCCTTTGATTCAAAAACAAAGGGTTCTGCTGTTTTTTGTTTTCACGTTTACCTTCTCGTCACACCGTAAGGTATGAAGAGATATGGTAACATTGCACTTCCTTCAAGCAAAAAATCCTTCGGATTCCGACACAATCCCGTTTTTTTAGTCGTGCCTGTGAAATGCATAGTAGGCTCACGCGAACAACAACTGAGGTTATTCACTACTAGCTACTTTTGATTCTTGCGTCGTGGCTTCGGTCTCACATCTCAGTTCCTACCGTACTGTACCGTAGCTAGTAGCTACTGGCCTACTATGCATACCATAACGTATGTTAGTATAATATAAGCATACTAWGCTGCAAAATTAACTCCCTACATTTTTCTCTGAAAACTGTTGGCTTTTATCGTACCGGCACCAGTACATACAAGGAGTACGGCTCGCACAGCTAAATGGTAGTACGAATACCAGTAATGGACGAGCAGTCTTTTTGTTCTCTCAAACCGTACCGTACGTACCGTATGATCACTGGTACTCTCTAATATGAAACATGACGATTGACGATGGAATGRAAGTCGTAATTTACCATACATTGTAGATAGTCCATATTCAATAATCTGAATAAGTAGATTTCCGCACTGACAGATGCATTCCGTGAAATAGACACACTATGAGTGACGAGATACCCTACGCACAGCCATTTCCGTGGACAGAGGAACAACCACCAAGGGCGAASTCCATAAGATCTTTGCGAAAGCGCAAGTTTGTCGGCAGTGGCCTTGCGGTGCTTCGCGAGAAATCCTTAGGATCGACTTCGAAAATGGGAAATGTTGCGAAAAACATACTTATGAACCTCTTTCATCAGCACGGAATTGAAATAGATGGAGATATGGAAAGCGATGCAAATAAATTTAATGGAATAGGTCTATCGGACGGATCACTTCAAAAAGAAACAACAATAAGCAACGAGGAATCAAACACTGCATCGAAAATGGAATCAGGGTATCAATCTATCTTTGTACCCTTACTCAAAGCAGTTACTGAATCGGGGACTAGCCAGGTTTCTACGCGACAAATTCTGGGGAAAGTTTGTCTGCTGTTACACCCTGGTACGTTGCCAGGGATAATGGACTCGAAAGATATGGTGCTTGCCGCTTTGCACTTTCTTTCTTCTACGAACGACACGAAATCAAAATATATCTTGAAGCTCCCCTTGATTCGGCCTTTACAAGCATATAGCGACTTGGAGAGACGAAATTACGAGAAAATTGGTGATTGGAAACTCAAAGATATCGAAGAAAAACTTTTGAAAGCAGAAGAAATATTTTTGAGTTCACCTTCCTCTTGGGAGTGGCAGAAAAGAGAATCTCTAAGCTTAAGGCTATCTGAGGCAGATGAGCAATCTTTGTTTATGAGAGGTACCGTCCCTTTGTGTGCACTGGCATCCACAAAAAAAGTCAAGACAGAAGGTGTCAAGAAGCGAAAGCCTGCGATAAAGAAAACGAAAACAGAAAGTTTAGCTTCGGCTGTAGAAACTTTCACTGATGAAAATGCAACAAGTGATGCTCTTGAAGGAGACGTTTCATATGAAAATCCTTTCTAGTGAAGAATTTGAAATAGCTTCGTTCAAACATCTCGACGATGACATTATCGTCATATTCAGTTTTGTAGTCTTTCTTCCTGCTCTCCTCCCGACTCTCATAGAAATCAATACTAGTTTCAGCTGTCGTATCATAATACTCTYGCATTATAAATCAAGTGTGTACGTTCCAATTTGAGTAATTTAAAAAGCGATGGACGCTGTGCGACAACTTGTCATAACTTGCCTTCTACCGACTGCTTCAGATGTCTTTGACATTTTTCTTTCCTCGCCACTTTGGATGCACACTCCAACGCTCAACAGTAGCGTAGCATTGGTATCATATTCTGCAACAGCAAAAGCAGGGCTTTGCTGTCCTATGACATAGACCGAAGATTATATTTGTTTTATTCATTCTTGTATGGATACCTTTATGTTACACCAGTAAAATCTGGATATTGAATATTGGTAATAATGTAACAAAGGATATAGTGGTCTTAATGGTTGCAGTCAAGAAATACTGTACTTATCGATAATGTGCAACATCTTTTTCCCGTAAGACTCTGCGTCCCATCCAAGCGCCTTTTCTCGAGCTACTTGAGAAAGTATCTTCCAAGCTTTCCCGTCAATTTTGCAATCTCTAAGGAAATCAACAACAGTGATTAAAGATTGTTGGGGAAATGTATTATCATCAGTGTCGCCATTCATATCCACTTGCAAGCAGCCGTCCTTGCCTAATAGACGAAATGCTCCAATGGATGGGCCCGCTAAAACTGACGGCGCCCCAAATGCAGCAGCTTCGACAATGGTCATTCCATAAGCATCATATGAGGCTGGATGAAAATTGATAAGAGTGTGCGCGAACAGGGCTCCCAACTCGGTTGGGGAGAGAAAGCGATCGATGATAATCGCCTGTGGAACAGCCCGGAGCAGTCGCTTTCGGGATTGTTTGGCATACTCGACGTCTGATGGGGCACCTGCCAAGACAACCATCAGGTTCAATTCTTGTAAGATATTGGCGGCCATTTCTGCAAATTCCACGAATCTATGAACGCATTTCTCGGGAGATTGCCGCGCCACGCAAACGATTAATGGTCGTTTTGACAAGAGAGTATTGGTTGCACTAGTGGCATAATGTGAATAGTTTTTGCTAACRGTTCTCAGTATACCAGATTGTATGAACTCCGGTAGGTAGCGAAGATAGCCATTTGACGTACAGCGAAACTTTGCAAAATCCTCCATATCTTGTCGAAGCGGGGGAAAAGCAATTTCCATGGGAATATCTAGGATTCTTTTGTCTTTGCTTTCAAGTAGTATCGCAGAYAGTTGTTGAGTGTCTTTTGAGGACAGAGAAACGACAACATTTGCATTTTTCATCGCCTGATASTCCATTTGATCATACCAGTCCCGCCGTTTGTCATCGTCTACTCCAGAACTAAAGACACGGAAATTGAGGTAAAGATGAAGTTTTTTTGTTATATCTGTGTAGCAATTCACATTATCATCACCTTGGTGGTATTTTCCATGATCAACAATTGACCGATAGGCAACAGCCCCTGTCCAATCAATTACACACACCACATCTGCATCAAAAATTGCTGCATTAAGTTGGACGGTCTGGTCTCGTACGACATCGGACAGAAGGAGGTTAGATATATTGAAATCCCTCCAACAGGATWGGTCGTCAACCCGTCGCCATCCATTTCTTGGCACAGCCGACGACAACAATTCAAGACGCCGCAGTGATTTTTCTGATATTTCGGGCGGAGCTAAATGGTTGTCACTGCTGCTGCTGCTGGTGGTGGTGGTGGTGGTATTGTCGCTTGCGCTCCCTTTATTGCCAGCAACAAATCCGCCCTTTGCGTTTCCGTCCGAGGGTCGACAGCACCAAACAGTAACTGTGCAACCCAATCCAAGGAAGGATTTGACGAGCGAGCGAGCCAATATGCCATTCCCACTAAAGGGGCTGTATGTAAACTCGTATGTCAATAGAATAATCTTCTTCATTTTCTACCAGTAGTGCCATTGTCGATATGAAGTAGATGGTAGATTGTTGACRGAGTACTTGCGGTCCTTCTTTACAGAGATATGTAACCAGGCGTCACACGTAGACGGGACCGAAATGGAAAGAAAATTTTCATGTTCGGACGACCTGGTATCTTTTTTATTTTTAGACCCTGTCATCCATTTCRTTCTCCCGACAGAGCCTTTCGACAGATGGAAAATAGAATGTTACTACTCCCTGGAACACTAYGGGAAGATGTTGTTYGTACATACAATTAATACATACAACATACAATTAATTTCGTGATAGAGAAAAATTCATGCGATATTGATGTTTTCTCTTGTTAAGAGTTCGGTAGGGGCTTTTTCCTTGTTGTCTACATTTTCCTTCAGACGGAGCCTTCCTGTTTTTGGCGACTTAATAGGCAATTATTATTTTTATTTTTTCGTTCCTACCATCCGATAGGCTCGTAGACAGCTCTTACAGGAGGAATAGATGTTGTACTGATTAGAGTACTCGTATGATGTGTGGTACATATTGTAGTGCCGCGCTAGTAGCTGTACGGTGCGACTGAAGCACGCAATAGGTTTTGTTGGTACAATGCCTGTTCGCGCACCGCAAGCGGTATTCATTTTTTTGTTGGAAAAAATATTTGCTTTACTAAGTTATTTCACCGTACACTTTCTGCCATCGCATCACGCAAATATTCTTTCTCATGCGCAACTCTAAAAACGCACAAAATTCGTTTGTTCAATTCACCGCAAGGGTCAAGAGTGTTCACGATAGATTGAAAACGACCAACACGTCCGTAAATCCGGAAGAATGGATCCGGACCGAGTGCGAGCGTACCTTCAAATATCATGTGCGGGACTTGGGTTTGATATCGGGGAACTATGGTGGACAACCAACAAGAACGGTGAAAGTACTTCAGCTCTCGCAGCAATAGGTATGTTTTGTCGACCGAAAAAAATTGAGAGACGAAAAATTCTTCCCCTCTGCAAGGTGTTCTTTCGTCAATGGCAGAGACTGATTGGACTGAATTTTAGTCGCGAATCAATTTCGTTAAKTACTGAAAACAGTAAATCGTCCACAATTATGACGTTTGGTTTTTGGGGTTCTTCATCCAACTTCCACAATCTCCAAGGAGTTTGTTGAATTTGGAWGACACCTGAGAGTGGCCAAAACCGTCCTAGTGTCTTTCTGTATCTCAACTCAGAATTGTCTACTAATTGTTTTCTGGTTGTATCATCGAACCAGAGGAGAAAGAAGACTCCCATGGGGTCACTACAGATAATCATGAAAAGAAACTGCGCTTTGTGCAGCTCTACACGTCGAAATCTTATGAAGCCCGGCGGCCGATGCTAATAAGACCTGCGGATGAAGAGGAAAATAGCGATTCTCAAGCGGATGGCTCGGCTTCAGAAGASAGTTCAGAAAAACATGTTTTATCACCAACGTTGGTAGACGCAATATCAAAAACTGCGCAAGTTGTATGGGCTCATACGAAGAAATCCGAGGGTCTCACCGGCCGTTCCGATATTCGCCTCCAAACAGCTGTAGGAATGCCTGTAGCTGTAGACAGAGACGGAAATATGTGTGTTGTTGTGATGTTTTCACCCAACAATATACAAAGTACGGATAATGCATTAGAATATCTTCAGTCCATTAGTCGGAGTGCAACATCCTCGTCGATACCATGTTTGTTACCGGCATTCGACCCGAGAGAAGGCCTCATTGCCTTACAACACCATCACCAACATTCAAAAGATGAGGCGCTCCCGCAATTATCCAATATTCTCACTGATGGCGTCACAACTCGATTTGTTCCTCTCGATGAAAATTCAGATGTGAGAAATCAACTTTCCGTTCCGGAAGTGCATAGTGATCACGATCTTGAAAGTGCACCGAGAGATTGTTTTGGGATTCCCATGCTCCCGGCTGTCGCAGAGATAGGCAACCCTAACAAGGCACAATTGAAAAATGAATCATTAAATGATGCTTTTGATGAGGCCTCATTTGGCGTCTGGTCAACAATTATGCAAACTCTCGACCAAACAGATGCCACTCTCGTAAGTGAACAACAGGAAACCCAAAAGTCTCTGAATGGAGATTATCTTCCACTGCACAATTCCATAGAAAATGAGATCATTGCAGAAGAAAAACCATACATGGATATCGATAGGCAGGAGAGATTGGAAGAATTCGCGTCGGCATTCTTGGACGTATCTATCTTTGATTTGGCTGAAATTTGGTTTCCGACAGGGCAGAACTCGGATTCCCTCGGTCTAATTTCGTCAGTAAAAAGTATTGACAACAACACACCTCTTGATATTTTCGCGAGAGAAAGCAAAAACACCCTCATCAAATTTTGGTCAGGAGCAGTGGGAAGAGCACACTCGTCTGGAAACCCTGTTTGGAGTTTCAACAAGGTTAGTCTTAGCGATCACTGATGAATTTTCAACATGCTCGTATTCGCAATCATATCTGAATCTCGCCATTCTTTATTTTCAGAAYGTCTTTTCGGATTCAGGGCGTGCTCATTTATTTCGGCAAACCAATATTGAAACTACGCTTGCCGTGCCTGTTTTCTCGGGGAGATCGAAGACCCCAGCGTTTATCTTCTGTTGTTATTCATTTGTTCGCTCGGGATCGATACCGTTTGTTTTGAAGTTTGTCCAGCAGGCATTGAAACTATTGTGGGGTGGCCTAGATAAAGTTGAGCCTCATAAAACTGTCGATGGAGATGTATGGAAAGATTGCACGCCGGCGGATCTTGGAGAAATGGCTGCTGACGTCGAGATGCACCAGCATTTCATGATCAAAAAACGTCCAATCGGGGCGATATCGACTGAGATGGAGTCTCAAGAGAAATCAATAAATTCATTGACAGCAGAAGTTGATTCGTTGTACACATTAGGTGGAACCACTCATACTGCACCTTCGATTTACACGGGGCAAAGAGGATTGGAAATAGAAACACCGTCACCCCAGCTCATCCAGAGACATACATATGAAGGCATACAGAACCACCTGAACGACGCCATAAAATCAGTGGTTGACATGCAACCTGTCCACCGCCATGTTCCAACAAATTCTAATGGCTCGAAACGGGCACATGTTTTTTTTCAGCCATCCCAAATAATGTATGCACAAATAGCACAAGAACAACCAAAAGATGGGCAAAACGAATCCTCTGAGAATCAAGTTCACGGAGCTCTTCCTGCCGTGTCGACTCATTTGCCGCTTCCTCAACCATTCCGTCTGCCTAACCAGGTTGTTCAGCCTACTATAAATGAATATCCCGGTGCAACAACACCACATCAATCACTGCAAGAGCCAATTCAACGCACTGCGTTCACGCATCAATCACACAATCAAACTATTGATMATGTCAATCCAAACCATGGCTATTCTTTTTCGTCGCAGCAGCAACAAACAGAACAGCAAGATCAAGAAATTGTGCCAAATGCGGTCTTGTCCATCCCCATGGATAACATAATTSTAACGGGTTCTACCAACTCTGCTTCTTCTACACCTTTTGTGCCTCAACACGCCCCTGTTGAAGTAAATCGAATAAGTAGTCAAATTTCTCTCAATATAACGGCACCAACGAGATCAGTCAGTCAACCGACGACAAACGTTAAGAGTAACAAATCGTTCAAGGTACGTTTTTTAATACTTGTTCGGTTTGCTTGAGTTTGCTGTTTACTTCTTCTCACAAATAGAATCTCGCCGTCGCCCCTCCAATTTGGTCCAGCCCTGTCGCATCCAGGGATGTGATGACCCAGCCTTGGCACGGCGACCCTATTGTGTTCGTCATAGTGGGAGCAGGATGTGCGAACATGAAGGCTGCACAAAATGCGCCCAGGGGTCGACACGATTTTGTATTGCYCATGGTGGTGGTCGACGTTGCACATATCCTGGGTGTGACAAGGGTGCTCGCGACAAGTTCTTTTGTGCGGCCCATGGAGGTGGGAAAAGGTGCAAACACGCGGGTTGCAGCAAGTCTGCTGTCGGGGGTTCCAGTTTTTGTGCGGCCCATGGAGGTGGGAAAAGGTGCAAACACGCGGGTTGCAGCAAGTCTGCTGTCGGGGGTTCCAGTTTATGTACAGCCCATGGTGGTGGCCGTCGATGTGCTGTGGAAGGTTGTGACAAGTCGGCACAATCATCCACGAAATTCTGTGTCAAGCACGGAGGTGGAAAGAAATGTTCGTTTGCGGGTTGTGAGAAGGTATCTCGTGGTCGTACAAATTTCTGCGCTGCGGTAAGTTCACATCGCTAAGTCCGTGGAATCAAATGGACAGTACATGATATTTGAAGGCTGTATCTTTTTATTGTGTTTTTAATGTSTTCGTTTCATGTTTTCTCTTGGATTTGAACGCATAGCATGGCGGTGGTGTTCGTTGCAAGCTTGCAGGCTGCAATCGCGTTGCGATTGGGAAAGTTCAACTCTGTCGAGCTCACGGGGGTGGAGCTCGTGCAAAGCAGAACGCACCCAAATCCTATTCCGGTACCAGCAGAGAAATACAGATTCCGATGGCAACGTCTATCGGAGTTCCGTCGGAAATGATGAAAGCAACGTTTTGCGTGCCAATCATCGAATCGGTTTTGGATGTAGGACACGACGGAAACCAGCAATCTCTTGGTACAGACTTAGCGGACATATAATCATGGGATTTGGTACTGACGAAGAATTTTAACCTTTGGTCTGAAAGGCTCTCTGTACATATACATGAGTTGGACTAGGGCTTGGTATGCTTGCCCTCGCTTTAGCATGCACGAAACGGAGTTTTTTTTAATAGTCAAGCTTTAAAACATTTCAAAAAGTGTTCTAAACGCAACTATATGCCCAAAAATACAACGCTACATAATATATCATCATCTCTGCTCTAGATCTTTGATAGAGAGCTTGCTACTGGGAATTGAAGGTCCTAGAAGGATGGTTCTCCCATTGCTTTCCTCTTTCACTGTGGAGCTTGTGGGCAATGCCAGGCAGCCAGTGGGCCCCAGTCGTCTGAGATGGCAAATTGCTTCAACAGTCAGGCAACTGCTACTAAGGATGCAGTTTGGTAACTGCCTCCAGCTTTTCATTTCTGTTTGTGCTAGCCCTCTTGGATTGTGCATTGGGGTCCTTGTTGTTAGTCTCCCAAGAAGAAGAGGTTGTTTGAGAAGTAATAGATGGAATCCTGTGACATTGGTCAAATGCAAAAATAGAGGTATGAGGGATTCCAGGCCTACAACAAATTAAAGTAGATACTAGTATACCAAAACATTCAAGAGATTATTCGTAGCAGTACTAGTACTAGTACTCTAGTAGTGGCTTGAGAGTTGCTACAAGGGGCTGGAAGGAGCAAGAAAACAACAAGTACTAGAAATGAACCCTTTTTCTTTCATTTTTGATACGGTCAATAGTTACTGGTGTTTGTGACGTGAATGCACCCTACCTATATGGTATGTACATACCATACTCAAACCACTTACTASTAGTAGCCGTAATGGGTCATTCCCAGTAACATAAATCAAATCCATGTATGTTATCATGAATGTTGTTTTTAGTTCACTTGTTCCAAAAGACAGACCACTGAAAGTAGTAGATACTTTCCCTCTCTTTAGGAATGTGGTGGAATCCCTCTGTTCTTGTTGACACCCATTTTACTGTCTTTTAGGGTCTGCCTGCCGCTCAAGAGAYTGAAAATGGTGTTAAGTCATGGATTAAAATAAAATATGTACCGTAGCTCAATACACAGCAGGACAAGATCTTCTTGGTTGTCCTTGTGAGCCCATGACCACCAGTATATGTGCATTTGACATAAATAAACCAAGCCGYCCAGTCAAAAAAGACATGCGTACTTGTAGTAGTAGTAGACTACTACTAGTACTAGTAGTATTAACAGTACTACAAATTTCATAACAATTGCACGCTGTCTTGCCCAGCAAGCAAAAAGTTTTAATTTGAAGTTAAGATCTTCAAATGCCAGAGTAGARATTCTACTGTGTTCTACTGAGCTAGTTTTTGGGTGGCATTCATGATTGAAAGGCCRGATTAATGATTGAATGGGAATCAAATCCAGCAGTCTCATTGTTACTAGTAGAACCTGGTACATGTTGTACGAGCAAAAATTCATAACTTAAAATTAAAACTTTTTGCTCTCTGGCAAGACTGTGTGCAATTGTTATGAAACTCTCAGTATTWTCGGGAATGACCCAATCTTTCAAGTCAATCTTTTCTTTCAAGTTTACTTTTTCACTGAATTGGGTATTTCTAACTGTGTTAGTCAAATTTAGTCCCTGCCTTCGGTCTTGGTAGGTACGTACAGTACC